CTCCGGTTTTCCTCCGCTTTAATCTACACAACCGGAAATGGACGAGCATCCTTACGTCAAATGCGGAACTTATGCGTGCATATAGCCAATTGGCGGTAGTCCAGTGTTCCCCTTTGTGTTTGGCGGTTTCGCCGGGTTCCGCAAGGAAGTTAGAGAAAATAGAGGAGTCAAAGGTTATATGACGCCATAGACGGGCGACGAAACGGAAATAAAGAAACGTCCCGTGTCTTCGAATTAAACTATAAATTTCTCCGTATTTGAAATTTGGTGGAAACTGTCGGGATAATGTAAGTACACATCTAACAGAAATATATAACATAGATACAGTTATTTTTGCTATTTTTAATGCAGAAAAAATACATATTGTGGCTTTAAAGGTATAGCGGAGGATCTTTCCGAATTTTAGAGAAGACCCGCCCTCTCCAATTTTTTTAAAAAAATGCACATGCACAAACACAACACTCTTGCTCCCGAGAGCTAGGGAACGTCTATACGCCTTGCACAATTATGTTGCAAATTCTAAACTAACTAAAAAACATTCATAAAAAAGACAACATGTCAAATGCCCTTCCGTGTTTTATTTACTTATTATACTGATCGATTGAGTGACCGAGGACTCAAGACATGATATGTGCAACCCTGTATCACACGAAATACGTTCTGAGGAAACTATTTTGCAAATCGCAATTACGTTACATAGCAACATATAAGCAGTGCTATTACGTTGGACCTTAACCTAATATCTCTCATTGGTAATACGTTATTTTTATACATAGTTGCATATGGAGAAGTAGCTTGTTGCATTTTGTGTAATAATAAACACACAAGATTTTAGAATATTTCAGGGTGATACCATTTACCATTTTGGACAAAAGGCTACTTTAGACAAATTGAGATGTTTACCGTGTCTATGCGGTGCATGACTCGTGCCAGGGCTAGCATTGTAGCTTGCATTAACTTTTACTAGTGATTTTAAATGGATTTCTCCAAATAGCGTGACAAACTTTACCTGTCTGGTAGAATCTTCGCGACTGCGGCATCAGTGAGAAGCCCAACCTGTGCTTTTAGCGCACGCCAGCGTGTGATATTCACCCAAAATCTCTCTGGTCTTGTTTCTATATTCTGCGGCCTTTCTCTTCTTATCATACACTTCGTAAACATTTTTTCTCTTTCGACCCTCAGCCATTTTGAAAGGAATGGCTGAAACCGTAACTCTGACATAATACACCTGAAAGCGAAAACTACATAGGGATGAGCACGTAGCCTACGACGGCCTTACGTAAACATATCACCAGAATGATTGACACTTAGGTGGACCAATAGTATAGACTACCCACCCGGAAAAAGAAAATCCTCCGCTATACCTTTAATGTATTGAAATGTTGGTGATGAATCTGTAATAAACCTTTTCCTCATGTTCGTGACAGCACTGACTCCGGCTGAGTTTGCTCCTGATCTCCAGGACTCATCATCTCTAGTGTTTTCTTCTGTGTTGGGCTGAGATCTGCGTTCTCGTCTAGATCTCGCTGAATCCTGTGTTTAGAGCAACACACGTCATTTAAACACTGTCACATCCTCATACGTCTGGAGAATTGAGCAGTATGGAGTTAAACGTCTCCTGATGTTGCGGGAATGTAAGTAAATAAATGACACTAACCTGACGAGACTTCCGACACTTTTTGATCTCTGTGAAGTCAGAACAGAGAAAATACATCAGTGGATCTGTTTCAATCTCATCTTTCTCAGTTCTAATTATATGAAATTACTCCACTCATTTACAAAGACCTTAAAAAACTACATCATTTTAATAACCGCTGTCACTTAATTTTGATTTTAATAGTGACTTTAAGACGCACTGTAAAAAAAGTTCACTTCAAATTTAAAAATAGATCCCACAAACTTCCATCCAATCAATGATCTGAACAGAGCAGAGAGCCGACCGACACACAGATTCAACACTTCACACACACACACACACACACACACACACACACACATACACACACTCTCTGTACATGTGGATTCAGAGTGTACCAGACGTGAGCCGGATTTGGGCCGGACTATGTTGCTGTCTGAGAAAATAATGGTAAAGTAATCATCATTTCCCTGTGTGTTTATTACAGAACGTGCTCTACACACTCGGACACGTCTCACAGGTCATGTGATAATCTTGTGATGGTTCAGTATCTGTGACGTTATCTCTGTAATCGTCGTTCATCTTCACTATGATCTGCGAAACTCAGCAGACGCCTGATTTTATAAAGGATTTCACTCTTAATGGGGCTCTCGAGGGATTTTTAACTGTTAAGAGAGACTGAATGGATATAAATTATAATAAATTAAATGATATTTTTCTCTGTCTATGTGTGTTTAAACTATTTGTATTGTTGTCTTAATTCGTCTTTGCATAAAAAAATACTTCTTAATGTTAAACACCACAGGATATAATTTAAAATGTATGTTTGTCAAAAGAAAAATCATCTGTATTTTAAACACTGCTTTTCTCAAAACATTGGGTCACGGATTTGGTATCATTATTATCTTGTTCAAAAAGAGCCAATGGCTTCGTGAAAACACACATCTTGTCTCTGAAAGATAAAACTCACCCCTTTACAACCTGAAGAACTAAAATGGCTGATTTACACATATTTTGTTTTGACTTTAAAATTATAAAGTATTGTGCGAGCTTCAAGCGCTAGGAATTATCTTTTCAGAAAAAGACTTTAAATACATCACAGGTATTGGCCATTAGTGTGTGTGCTGTGTTTGTACATTTATTAACATTTTTAATTTAAATAGACAAATAATAGAAACTTGAATAAATTACTGATTTTTATTTAGAAAATAAATAAATAAAAGCTAACACTTTTAAGTTGAAAAAATAACTATATTTGAACTATATTGCAATATTTTACTTACACGCAGTACCAAATCTGATCACATATACATCTATACATTAAGAAGTGTCTTACTGAATATAAAATTATATAGCCGATATGATATATTAGAAAATATCTTTCAATATGTAAAAAGCAGCAATTCCTTATTGTAATATATTAACATAATATATTATTCTGTATATATTCAAATATACTATTAAACAATTTAATATATTGATCATTCATTTATGGGAAATATATTTTCTTTTCATTAGGGGATACACCTGAGGAGTGTGTTTGACAGTGAGTGTGTTTAGTTTATTAGCTGAGAGTCTCAATCAAACAGCAGTTTTACAGCAAATCAACACACACAGACACACACACACACACACACACACACACACACACACACACAATCTGTGTGTTAAATATGTGAGTGAATCAGGAAATGAAAGGATTGATTGTTTATTTTTGATGAATTGTGTTTTGTTCTGAAGTAAATGATTGTGACGTGAAGAAACACATTTGAAGATCAGCTCGTACCAGGTGAAAAAGACGTTGTATTAAATGTATTAAAAATATATTTGAAATACAAATAGTGTGTTTATAATACATTTGTATTTACAACATGCTTATTTACTAAAAATGTATTTTATTGCATTTTAGTATATTTCTAAAAAGTATACTAGAAGTACATTGGTAATAAATATATATTTAATTACACTTTTAAAAAATATACTATAGAAAAGCATACTTTTAATGTATTTATAAAAAGTATATTAGTAATATATTGGTAATAAATGTATGCTTTATTATATTTTTAATAAATATGCTAATGATAATTATACTTTAAATGTATTTCTAAAAAGTATATTAGAAGTACATTGGTAATAAATATATGTTTAAATACACTTTTAAGAAATACACTATAGAAAAGCATACTTTTAATGTATTTCTAAAAAAGTATATTATTAGTACATTGGTAATAAATGTGTGCTTACTTATATTTTTAATAAATATGCTAATGACAATCATGCTTTAAATATGTTTCTAAAAAGTGTACTAGAAGTACATTGGTATTTAATTACATTTTTAAGAAATATGCTAAATACAAACATATTTTAATTATATTTAAAAATGTTTTACTAGAAACGCAATGATAATAAATATACACTTAATTACACTTTTAGAAATATGCTAAAAACAAACATAGTTTTAGTGAAGTTTTAGTGTATTTACAGAAAGCATACTTGTTGCTAAATTAAAGTATTTTTGTGTTCACTTCAAGTTTAAAAATTCAAGTCCCTTTAATTCCCTTCCTAACATGAAGGCAATTAAACATGTATCAAAATTAATTGTATATTTCTACAAAGACTAGAAGTAGCACTTTAATTATAAATATGTGCTCAGTTAAGCTTTTAAGAAATATACCAAAAACTAACACACTTTTTGTAATACTACCAACACTTAACTCAATGCATATGTATTTCACACTTTATATTATGTGTTTTACACTGTTAGAAATTTCTTGTAATTTTACAGGAAATTCCTGGCTAATAGTTGCCGTAAATTTACTGTAAACAGTATACAGGACTGCTATTGTAAAATAACTACAACAAGATACTGTAATTTTACAGGATAGAATACTGTAAATTTTACAGCAAAATTTTATATTTACGGCAACTCAGTAGCCAGGAATTTCCTGTAATTTTAGGTATTTTCTGTAATTTCATAGGACAGCATATTGTAAATATTACAATTAAATGTTGTAACTTGGATAAATGTCCTCTTTCAGACTTCTGCAAAGAAAAACAAAACACTTTTTTTTTTAAATATATATTTTTATTTTCTCTTAAAACTAATGAGAAAACGAGTCCACAATGCACATTTTGGACGTTTTTTCTCTGCCTGCCCATCTGGGGATGCCGCAAAAGGCTCTGAAAACAGGGAGGGACACACACTTATCAGATAACATTTAAGACTGATATGACATGGTCATTACCATGACATGAAACATTACAGGAATAGTTCACTTTGATATACATTTTTGGTATGTTTTATCTTACCTCAAGGGTATCCAAGATGTAGGTGTCTTTGTTTCCACAGTATTTTCAATTTTGATATCTGTCTGTCAGTCATGTAATGGAGGTCTATGGTCACCACCTCAAAGAGCATGCACAGAGAAGTCCAAATTAAACATGACTTAATGACTCGTAAATGTAAGTAAACATTGATGGCCTAAGACACAAAACAAGCGGTTTGTGTGAGAAAACGAACAGCATTTATATCATTTTTACCTCATGTAGCCACAGCCACAAAGCGCCCGCGCCCTTAGATCACTTGAACGTGGCTGTGATTACAAGAGGTAAAAACAACATAAATACTGTTAGTTTTCGTCATTACTAATGGAGGTATATTTGATTCAAATCAACTGAACGCCTGTGACAGTGTGATTTGTAGTTGTAGACAAAAGCCATGCATGTGTATCAGTAAATTTGAAGCTAAAGAGAGAAATATTTTAAGAGTTGCAAACTTGTAAACATTTTTTCTCTCCCAAATTACACCATCTCAAATTCCTTTTGATGTTTTAGCTTACCTCAAGGGCATCCAAGATGTAGTTGTCTTTGTTTCCACAGTATTTTCAAATTTGATATTTTTAGGACAAACCGTCGTTGTCTATGCATCATATAATGGAGATTTATGGGGTCCACCCCAAAGAGCATGCACAGAGAAGTCCAAATTAAACATGATTCAATTACTCGTAAATGTAAGTACACATTGATGGCCTAAGACACGAAACGAGCGGTTTGTGAGAGAAAACAAACAGTATTTATATCGTTTTTTCCTTGTGTAATCGCAGTGACGTCCAAGTACTCTGAGGGCGAGGGCGAGGCCGCTTCTATCTGCGCAAGCGCGCCAGAAAGCCCCGGAAGTGATCTCTCGCGCATGTGCGTCACTCATTGTTTACACAGATTTTGGAAGTTTTACCTTTCACTGTGAAGATCTAAATATCGAAATCGTCTTCCATTGCGATTTCCTGTACATCTAAATATGTTTAGATCTTCACAGTGAAAAGTAAAACTTCTAAAATCTGTGTAAACAATGTGTGTACATGTGCAAGAGATCACTTCCGGGGCTTGTGCAGACCGAAGCGCCCGTGCCGTCAGATCAGTTGGACACAGCTGTGGTTACAAGAGGTAAAAACGATATAAATACTGTTCGTTTTCTCACACAAACCGCTCGTTTCATGTCTTAGGCCATCAATGTGTACTTACATTTATGAGTCATTGAATCTTGTTTAATTTGGACTTCTCTGTGCATGCTCTTTGAAGTGGTCACCATACACCTCCATTATATGACTGACAGACAGGAACGGTTTGACCTAAAAATATATCAAAATGGAAAATACTGCGGAAACAAAGACACCTACATCTTGGATGCCCTTGAGGTAAGATAAAACATATCAAAAATTAATTTCAAAGTGAACTATCCCTTTAATGAACTTGTACGTTCACATTTTTGATACAGTTGCTGCAGTGATTTGGTGTGAAACACATTTATACACCAGCATCAAGAAATGTGAAGTCGTGGAGAAATTTATGGACAACTGTAAATCAATATGTGAATTCATCCAATGAGAGTTGCAACCTTGAAGAATATTTCTTGTATATGTCTTGTATATGTATACTGCTCATTTTAGTTCACACAATCATTTCTCAGCAAGTTTAATGGATTATTTAAAAAAGAAAAATGTAGTTTCAGCGTGAACTTAAAATACAATTGTGCATTTCATTTCATAAACGTATATGAACTTTATGAAATGATGCACAATTGTATTTTAAGTTCGCTTAAAATTATTTGCAAAATTTCTCCACAACTTCACATTTCTTGATGTGTGTGTGTGTAATGTGTGGATTTTCTCTACAACTACAAATCGCACTGTCACAGGCATTCAGTTGATTTAAATCAAATATACCTCCATAATTGCTATAATCATTTTCATGACAGTGTCATGTTTAAACTCACCTCTGAAGGAATTCAAGTGTGCTTGCGACTTCTGCTGGATATTGCAAGTTGAAGACAAAGTAGGCAGCGAAGACTGCTGCCAGTCCATGCAGGAGGTTACTGTGGGGCCCCATCACACATGCTCCTTCCACGGAGATATTCCATGTGTCTGCGCCACGAAGTATCTCTTCTAAAACATTATGATAACAATATGATATGAAACATTAACAATATGATAACTAAAAGCTGCACAACACACTATTGCCACCTAGATGAATTCAGTAATGTTCAAGTGGAGAAAGACTTCCACACCACCACTTGAACATTATTATCTCCTTTGACCCGTACACCCTCCATCAACAACTCAAATAAATTATTTTTTTATGTGCAACAGTCCTCCGTCAAACACATGAATTCAGTAAAGAATTAACTTTTACAAAATAAGGGAAGATTATACCTGGGACAACTAATCGAGGAGTGCTTGGCAGGGTGACAGCTCTCTCAATATCAGCAGCCATGGCAGAGGGCTGGAGAAAAAAAAAAACATTAACATTAACAAAGTTAACCATGGGTAAGTTGAGTAAACGACAAAGAAAATTTGCCCCAAAAGCTGGAATGTTCTATTCAACACCAAGGGGGAAATCAGTTTCGATTTATGGTGCCAAATGTAGAAACAGCTGCATATGGCAAATCTTTTTTTTTATATGGATGCCACATCAATAAAATAGTAAATTAAAATCCGCTGGGGGTGGATGGGACTAAACGTGATAAACCAATCAGCCAAGGTCCAATATTCAAGCAATGTCTGCCTGTGCGTTGACTGCCCTGGAGAATGGAAAATTAGAATAACTTGTGCAAAGTGTCCATAGCAAAGGATGGGGCTGGTGATTGATTTCTGGTAATTAAAGGGATAGTTTACTTTGAAATTAATTTTTAAATATGTTTTAGCTTACCTCAAGGGCATCCAAGATGTAGGTGTCTTTGTTTCCACAATATTTTTAATTTTGACATTTTGCCATCATCATTCTGCCAGTCATATAATGGAGGTCTATGGTCACCACCTCAAAGAGCATGCACAGAGAAGTCCAAATTAAACATGATTTAATGACTCGTAAATGTAAGTACACATTGATGGCCTAAGACACGAAATGAGCGGTTTGTGAGAGAAAACAAACAGTATTTATATCGTTTTTACCTCGTGTAGCCACAGCCATGTCCAACTGAACTGAACTGAACCGTGTCCAACGTACCGCCGGAAGTGATTGCTTTCGTGTGTACGTCACTCATTGTTTACACAGAGATTTCGGAAGTTTTACCTTTCACTGTGAAGATCTAAACATATTTAGATGTACAGAAAATCGCAATGGAAGACGTTTTTGATATATCTAAATATGTTTAGTGAAAGGTAAAACTCCTGAAATCTCTGTGTAAACAATTAGTGACGTACTCACGCAAACGATCACTTCTGGCGGGACGTTGGACACGGTTCAGTTCAGTTCAGTTGGACATGGCTGTATTATATGACTGATAGACAACAACGGTTTGACCGAAAAATATCAAAATTTAAACTACTGTGGAAACAAAGACACCTACATCTCGGATGCCCTTGAGGTAAGCTAAAACATATCAAAAATTAATTTCAAAGTGAAATATCCCTTTAACAATTACAAAATAACAGGACAGAGATGGGAGTGAGGGAATGGTTAATTTATTTGTATGCACTGTCTGCAAGTTATACTCACATCAGACATAAGCATCCAGAACCTTCCCCACTCCTGGTGTCTTCTGCTGTTGGAAGTACTATGATGTTCTGACTCCTGTTGTCTACGGCATCTGGCCGCTTCTCCTGGATAGGAATTCGGTCAGCTCACTGAAATGCGAGAACAGGCCCATGACGCGCTTTACGTCAATAACATGACAAATACATACAAAGAGCCATAACTACTTGTATAGGTAGTTTATTTAAGTTCAAACCTATTTGACAACATATTACCACAAAAATAAGTAAATCAACAGACCACAGAGCAGACCTTACTCTCGCTCGCTCGCACTCACTCTTTTTCTCTCGTGTTCACCCTCACCACTCTCTGCATAACGGTTTAAACAAACAACAACAATAAATAAATGTTGTGTGCTGATCAAGAGTTTTGTGCAAGCAATTGAAGGTCGCGACGCTTGTCCCATAACGTTAGCTGGCTTCATTCGGTGATTGAAATAAATATTATTAACATTAATTCAAGTTTTGCAGTATAGAGAAACGATATCAACGCTCCGAGCGAGCTTGTAACTTTTTCTTGGCATGAAACAGTAAATAATCAAACCAGTGGAAGCCTGCAGTGCATGAAACTGTTGTAACTAATCAAACCTATCATGCAATAACTAAGTTATACCCAGACTATGGTTATGCCAGGCAACAGCGCGCCGCGCCCAGTCGGAAAGCAGACAGCCGCGCTACCGCGGGGTTGTTTTTCCACATTCGAATATTCATTTTCAGTTTTTAAAACTTTTTGAATATATATTCGAATTTAGAATATTCGTTGACAGCCCTAAATAAGATTCGAGCTAGCTAGCCAATCCATCCAAACAGTGAAAGAACCATTGACGTTAACGTTACTTCAGGCAGATTAAAATAGCATCAATTTGTGAAGAACAAGGTTGCAAATGTTAGCAATTACCAGTAACGTTACGTACCCGATTTCAATGGACTGATGGAAGAATAAATGTTATCTAATCAAAGCAGACGAAACCGTCACCATCCACTCAGATAACGAGAACTAATAACGTTTTATTTACGCTATAAAAATACATGTGTAACGGTAACAGTAAATTATATAACGTGAAGATAACTTACCTTCGTCCCAGAATTGCTTCTTTTCCGTCTTCTTGAATGACGGCTTACTCCCAGAATGTACGTTTAGAACTAACCGCCTAAAAATTCAAAATTCAGACCGCGATGATCCCATGATGCAACGCGGTGGCTGTAAAACGTCTCCGGTTACTTTCGTAACCTCGGTTCCCTGAAAGGCAGGGAACGAGACATTTACGTCGATGACGTAGTATGGGAACTCCTCCCCTTCTTCACTTCTGCTGAAATCTTATGGGCTAACGCCAGCTGACGACAGCTGGCCAATTGACGCAAAATATGCAAATATTGCCTAGCCTGGCAGTATAAATTGCATATTGTTCGTCGATTGCATCAGAATCCGACTGAACGCTCGAATGAACGAGCGACACGGCGTTCGACGTAAATGTCTCGTTCCCTGCCTTTCAGGGAACCGAGGTTACGAAAGTAACCGGAGACGTTCCCTTTCAAGGCGGTCACTTCGACATTTACGTCGATGACGTAGTATGGGAACTGTGTCAAATCCCGCCGTGGAGCAGAGGAACCACCCACTCGAAAATGACAGAACCCACATCCAATAGCTGATCACTAGAAAAACCAGACTCCTGATAGGTCGAAGCGAACCAATAGCGCGCTTTCAGAACCTTGTCAAAATTTGCATATCCCGAGCAAATGAAATAGGGGAAGCCTTGCACTGAACACTCAGGGCAGAACAACACAATAAAGGATGTAATAAAGCAGCAGCGACAGTTGCAAGCACAATAGGGAACCGGACTGATAACACAGGCTTAACTCACCGAAAGCACTTGAGACGCAACAGAAGAGACATCCAATTTATAAAATCTGGCGAATGTATTCTGAGAAGACCAGCCAGCAGCAAGACACAAGTCCCTTATAGACATACCTCTAGACCAGGCCCACGAGGAGGCAATCGCCCTCGTTGAATGAGCCTTAATGCTTAGGGGACAGTCCACTCCCTGGCAATCATAAGCCAAAGCAATCGCTTCCACAATCCAGTGAGCAAGTCTCTGTTTCGAAACTCCACGTCCCTTATTACAACCGCCAAAGCATACAAACAGCTGGTCCGATTGACGAAAAGCGGCCGAGCGAGTCATATACATCCGTAAAGCCCTGACCGGGCAAACAGCACTCTGAGCATCAGTGTCACACGAGACTGATGACTCAGAAGATAACGCCGGTAAGAAGACAACCTGCGCTCGGAACGGAGTGCTGAGAGACTTCGGAACATAACCCTGTCTCGGTCGAAGAGTGACATTACAATCACCCGGTCCAAAACGAATGCAGTCCTCGTGAACCGAGAACGCATGCATATCCCCCACGCGTTTCGCTGAAGCGAGAGCGAGAAGTAAAGCAGTTTTTAGGGAAAGCTCCTTGGTGGCTATCGAAGCCAGAGGCTCAAACGGTGGATTCGACAAAGCCCTCAACACTAGTGCTAAATCCCATGGCGGCACAGAAGGCGGCTGTGACGGGCGTAATCTCCTAGCTCCCCTGAGAAAACTGGTCACCAGCGCGTGCTTGCCGATCGACTGCCCTTCGACCGGAGGGTGAAACGCAGCAATAGCAGCCACATACACCTTTAGAGTGGATGGTAAACTCCCGTTATCCATCCTGTGCTGGAGGAAGCTTAGAATATCCGACACGGAACAGTTGCACGGGTCAACACTGATACTCTGACACCATTTAGAGAAAACTTCCCATTTCAACTTATACAAGCGCCTAGTGGATGGGGCTCGCGCTTCAGATATAGTGCTCAACGCGCGAGAATGCAGAGCGTCTCGCTCATTTAAAGACCCCGCAGCGGCCACACATGAAGGCTCCACAGCCCGGGGTTGGGATGCCATATCGTGCCGTTCGCCTGCGATAACAGGTCCCTCCTGAGAGGAATTTCCCATGGGGAGTCCACTAGCAGCTCTATCATGCCCGCGAACCAGGGCTGATTCGGCCAGTACGGGGCTACGAGAATCACAGATGCTTTTTCCTCCCTGATTTTGCACAGCACTAGAGGCAGAATCTTCACCGGAGGAAATGCGTAAAGCCTGGCTCTCGGCCAGTGCGAAGTCAAGGCGTCGGATGTCTGACCCAGGGGGAACGAGACAGCGAAAAGAACGTCCGACAGTGTGTGTTCTCGTGCGACGCAAATAGATCGACCTCCGCCCTCCCGAATCGATCCCAGATCATCTGCACCGATCCCGGGTGAAGCCTCCACTCTCCCTGAGGAATTCCATTCCTCGAGAGCATATCCGCTCCGCGATTTAAAACACCGGGAATATGCGCCGCTCTCACTGATAAGAAGTGCCGGTCTGCCCACAGCAGGAGACTCGCTGCCTGCTCGAATAGGGGCCTGGAGCGTACGCCCCCCTGGCGATTTATGTACGAGACCACCGACGTGTTGTCGGTCCGAATCAATACATGTTGACGCTCTAGCTGAGACTGGAAGGCTTTGAGGGCTAGGGAAACCGCCTTCAACTCCAAGCGGTTTATGTGCCACCTCCGTTGTGACTCCGTCCACGAGCCGGAGGCAGTCGCGCCCATGCACACCGCTCCCCAGCCTGAAGTTGATGCATCCGTCAAGACCGCGATGCGATTCGCTACGGTACCCATAGGGACCCCTGAACTGAATAACACTGGGTCTCTCCACGGCGCCAAAGTGCGAAAGCAGCTGTGAGTGACCGTGATGCGCTTGAGGCCGGTCGCCCACGCCCCCTGAGGGACCCGGAGCTTCAACCAAATTTGAAGCGGACGCATATGAAGCAGACCCAGATGGCATACCGGGGAGGCTGCCGCTAACAGACCTAATAGTCTCTGAAACTCTTTTAGTGGTACAGACCTGCCCGGTCTGAAGCGATGCAGAGAGAATGCCAGAGACTGTATGCGCTCTTGAGAGAGATGTGCTCGCATCGTTACAGAGTTCAAGCACACTCCCAGAAACGTTGCGGTCTGACTCGGCGTGAACACGCTTTTCTGTTCGTTTACACGCAGTCCCAGCGAGTCCAGGTGACGGAGTAATAATTCCACATGACCGATTAGCACCTCTCGCGAATGGGCTAAAATCAGCCAATCGTCCAGATAATTTAGGATGCGCATTCCGCTCGACCTGAGGGGAGACAGCGCCGCGTCCACACACTTCGAAAAGGTGCGGGGGGCAAGAGCCAATCCGAACGGGAGAACTGAATACTGGTAAGCTGTGCCCTCGAACGCAAATCTCAGAAAACGTCTGTGGCGCGCTGCTATCTGGATATGAAAGTACGCGTCCTTTAAGTCCACTGAAGCGAACCAATCCCCGGGACGAACCTGTGCCAGAATTTGCTTCAGAGTTGTCATTCTGAACGCGCGCTTGTGAAGCGCTCTGTTTATGGGTCTCAAGTCCAAGATCGGACGGAGCCCCCCCCCTTTCTTCGGTACCACAAAATAGCGGCTGTAGAAACCGCTCTCCCTCTCGCTCGGGGGAACCGGTTCTATAGCTCCTTTCTCGAGCAGGCTGAGCACTTCTTGTCTCAGAACGGGGGCGTTTTGGGGCAGTGTTAATGACTGGATCACGCCGTTGAAGCGGGGCGGTCTGCGTCTGAACTGAAGCGAGTACCCGTGACGAATTATGCTTAACACCCATGGGGAAATCCCGGGAATTGATTCCCACGCGCCCAGAAAATGACTCAGAGTGCGAGCTCGAACTGTGGTCATAGCCGCTACCAGTGTAGTGTTTAGACTGGAGCCGCGTTCCCGCGAGGCAGAAACCCTTGGTGGGAGGGCGGCTCGCGGTGGGCTGAGTGTGGTGCTGGCAATCTCTTGCCCATGAGATGCCATTATAGTCATAGATTGTGGCCCTACACTGTCCCGTGAAAGGGTGGGTGACACAATATGAGGTGCAAGAGGAAGAAAAAGCTCTTTTTGTGAAGGGGTACATGCTTTTATTGAACAAACAGCATTTACACACATTCGATCGTCTCTCAACAGAACATGAGGGATACGATGAACACGGCGCTTGGAGGCCGGCCCCCCTTCGCGCTCTCTCTTCCTCTTGCCCAATCCGTCAGGAAGACGGCTTTGGCGCGGAGGGGGGCGCGCTGTCCTTCCCTCGGCGCGGGCTCCTTCTCTGGCCATGGCTCTTCCTCCCAGGACCTGGCCACTGTCTTCCCCGGGAAGCACGAGCATCCGGCCCGGTGCGATGCACTGTGGGCTGACTCCCTGAGCTCTGAGGGCGGCGAGTAGCTGAAGACGAGCGCGAACGCTGCTGAGACGGGGGTGCTCGACGCGGGATCACGTGACTCATGGCTTTGGCGCGTTTCTGGGTCTCCGAGAAACGCTCCGTAACAGCCTCCACCGCGTCCCCAAAGAGACCAGCCTGGGTGATGGGAGCATTAAGCAGGGTTTTCCGGTCAGAATCTTTAACATCGGACAGAGTCAGCCACAGGTGTCTGTGGAGGACGACCAGAAAACCCATAGAACGACCGATAGCTTGCGCTGAGCGTTTAGTGGCCAACAGCGCAAAGTCCGTCGCCGAGCGAAGGTCCCGAAAGGCGTCAGCGTCGACAGAGGCGACGCCATCCAGAGACTTTAGCAGTTTCGCCTGGAATACCTGGAGGATAGCCATAGCGTGGAGAGCTGAAACTGCCTCTCCCGCTGCCGCGTACGCCTTATCCGTCTGGTGGGCCGTGAATCTGCAGGGCTTGGACGGCAGGCTGCGGTCCGCGCCCAGTGCAGACGTAGATGGGCATAGGTGAGAGGCGACGGTCTCCTCGACGATGGGCATGCGCACATAACCGTGGGCAACGGCATCGTCGACGTGCGCGAACAAGGACTGGGTGGCAGAAAGACTGCGTGCTGACTGGGGCGCAGCCCACGACTTGACCACGTGCTCATGAAGGTCCGGGAAAAACGGGGTTCCCCTCCTCGACGCGGCCTGACGGCGGCTCGACTGAAGGAACCAGGTATCCATTTTGCTTTTAGCTTGTTCGTCCGGCGCGTTCCAGGAAAGGTCCAAATCGGCGACGGCCTTAGTAAGGACTCTGAAAAGCTCCTCTTGGAGGTCTGCAGGACTTTCCTGCTCAGTAGGCGCGGCCTGCTCGGATCCCCAGTCTTTCTCCGACGCTGATAGAGACATAGCGTCCTCTTCCTCGCTAGCTCCGAAGGAGATGAAATCCGCGACGTCGCGGGGGGGGCGGAAGCTATCGTCCGCGAAGCTGACGGCTTCGAACTCCCTTACCCTGGGAGGGGAAGGGCCCACCAGCGGCTCGCAGGCGGCAGCGGGCCCAATCCCTACGGCTGCTCGAGCCATATCCCTCCTTGCCTTGAGGGCGCGCACGGGCATGTCTGCGCAGTGGGCGCAGGAGAGGTCGTCAGACAGAGCCGACTCGGCATGGGCGAGGCCCATGCAGGTGATGCAGAAAAGGTGGGTGTCGGGCGCAATAATAGGCCCAGAACACAAATTGCAAGTAGATGCCATCGGATGCGAAAGACAGTAGAGTATCTTAAGTGCACCTTCGACGACGGCGAAAGGTAGTGTAATTCCAAATCGTAGCACACGTCGATTTGAGCGTGAAGAAAAGGATTCTGATGCAATCGACGAACAATATGCAATTTATACTGCCAGGCTAGGCAATATTTGCATATTTTGCGTCAATTGGCCAGCTGTCGTCAGCTGGCGTTAGCCCATAAGATTTCAGCAGAAGTGAAGAAGGGGAGGAGTTCCCATACTACGTCATCGACGTAAATGTCGAAGTGACCGCCTTGAAAGGGAACCATTGTAAAACTCCGTGAATACAGTGAAATTACAATAATAATACAGGACTGTCCATTAATTTCCCATGATGCATTGCCTTTTACAGGTAAAACGCAAATACAATACATTGTTGTAAAAATTTCCTGTAAAAATTACATCAATTGCTAACAGTGTAGGTTTAACTTTTTTAAATTAATTTGTTATAATTATGAAAAGCACTAAAATTTGACTAACAAGTAATGCACTTCTATACTTCTGCATTAATTAATCAAATAGTCTTTTCCACAAAACAAGTGAATACCAGTACTTGCACACATCAACATAAAAGATCAGGTGTACATACTAGAAAAACAAAATTAATTTCTTAAAGCTTGACTCTTACATTTGTTTAGCCAAAATGAATAAAAAAACTTGTTATAAAGCATGTTATGTTTATATTAACAGAGTTGTTTCTTTTTTGTGGATGTTAATATTTCCAGTTGCATTCATTTGGACCAATCAGAGCCAATCTTTTCAAAACAAGCTTGCCGGCAATTGTCCAATCACACACTGCCATTTGAACTTACATGTTGGGTGGGGCGCGGACAACGGATACTGACTGTCTGTGGTATTCCATTATAGCTTCGGATATTTCAACAGAAATCATGTATTTTCCAAATTTTGCTTTTTTATTTCACTGACTCGGACCAAGTGAATGTGGATAGCATCGATCTAATATTGAGAGAACACACGAGCAGATTACCAGGTCGTCAGCTCCCGCGAACAATTTAGCAGTGAAGAGGACAACGCAGAGGTACGCCGCCACGACATGGACAGAGCAAGATACTGCCAGAAAAGATCTTACTTCTTGGTGGTAAGTTTATTAGTTTAAGTGATTAGTGTAATTGGCTTTATTCTCACTTTGGGTTTAGAAAATATTTTCAGAAGTTGATGACGATGTTCTGTACGTGATTACTGGCGTTTCTGTTGATTTGACACTAAAGCGAGTTAATCCATTGACGTCTATCAACTTAATTGTTATAGATCTAGACAGTGACATAATACAACTATAAAAACATTGCACACTGTGTTTGAAGAAAAAATGTTATTACTGGTGATTACACGACAGGCTTGATTGTCCCTAAGTAACTTCTTGTGTTTTAAATATTATAATATATTTTAAGCTCTAATAAAACTTTCACATTTGTGATATTTAATTCATAGTAAAATCTAATTAATTATTAGTAGGCTGTCAGTTTTCATGTCAATTCGATAAATAAATTAAGTTGTAATCACCAACTATACGCTTTCATAAAACCAATTATTAAATATCTTGCACTGAGAAATTAAAACGATGTTAAATTATGAAATGAGAGTTTTTATATTTAATATTTAGCCTAACCAAGGAATTTGCACATTGCAAAGACATTTTTTTTATATTAAACCTAACCGTGAGTATGAGGTCAAGTCGAGTAAGTAGTAGTTGATCCTCTTGATTTGTAACTTTTTGTTGGTGAAAAACAACAAAAAAGGCAATAGTGTGTCATGTAGCAGCCAAGTAGCTAAGTGACCTATTATATATTAACAGATATTTGAAAAATTGCGTCCCCCGCATGAATATGTATTTTGCCTGATTATGCATTGAATTATGCAATCGCATAATCGTGTTTTTCTCGAGGGACTGATTTATATGATTTTATGTGTGGTATTCAGCTTTTTTACATTTAATCAAGTCGTTATCAGCTGTCACCAGCTTGTAACTTTCAATAGAACGTTCTGTCTTTATTAATAATTAATAATTACTTTAATAATAGGGTGGAAGTTACAGTAATGGTTCATTAAATATGTTTTACCATTTAAACAAAATACAAATTATATATGAAGAACACAAACTAGTGTTTGTTCTGCCCTAACTTTGTATAACATGCAACTTTATTTTTTCTTGTAGAGCTTCCAGGGATATTAGAATCTCTCAAAGAGGCCCTGGAGTCCATGAAACGAGGTTCATTCAGCTCAAGCCCAAGATCATCTGAGCTGTGTCTTCCTGAAACCTCAGAAATGGTTAGAAAATTCTTTATGATAAAGAAAAATCCTATTTGTTATAATAATTATATCTGACTTTTTGTGCATTAATACTTCAGTAAGTGTTCTGAATTAAGTAACAAAGTGACAGCTTTTTATTAGAATTATAAATGAACAAGTTTATACTAATGCTTGTTTTATTTATTCTTTCCAGATTTCCCTCGGTGGTTCTGATGTCCCCAAAGAGTCTATGGCAGACTGAACAAGTCACGAACTTCTCTTTTTACTCACGACTTGGCCACTTTACTTTTTGCTATTGTATTTCACTTTGTTTGACTTAAAGGATTAGTTCACTTAAAAAAAAAAAAACTTTTGCTGATAACTTACTCACCCCCATGCCAAGATATCCATGTCATTCTTTCTTCAGTTGAAAAGAAATTAAGGTTTTTGATGAAAACATTTCAGGATTTTCTCCATATGGACTTCATTGGGAACCAAACGGTTCAAGGTCCAAAAGGCAGTTTCTGTGCAAACTGTTCAAAGGGCTTTAAATGATTCCAGACGATGAATAAGGGTCTTATCAAGCGAAACGATCGGTCATTTAAAAAAAAAAAAAACAACGTTTAAGTTTTGTAAGCTCAAATGGTCGCCTTGCTCTGTTCTGTTATGCATGTTCATAACTCTCCTATTCAAACTCGTTCATCAAAATTAACAAATCTTTTTCTGAGTCATTAGGTTCATTCAACGAACGAAATTAATGAATTGACTCGAAAAAAGATTTGTCAGGGCTGCCAACTCTCAAGCATTCAGCACGAGACTCGCAATTGAGCCAATTCTCATGCTTTCACGACAAATTGACTGTTAGCCATTGGACCTTGAACCGTTTGGTTCCCATTGAAGTCCATTATATGGAGAAAAATCCTGGAATGTTGTCATCAAAAACCTTAATTCCTTTTCGACTGAAGAAAGAAAGACATGGACATCTTGGAAGACATGGGGGTGAGTAAATTATCAGCAAAGTTTTTTTTTAAAAGTGAACTACTCCTTTCAGTTGGTTTATTTATTTATTTATTTATTTTTTGTTCTGTTTAATACCTCTGCAAATCAATGCATTTTATGTTAATGTATTTTGTTTAGTTTTCATAATGCTTTACTGATGTAGTGCATTAAAGTTTATCTTTCAAAGAGTGTTTGTGTGTTTTGTAGAAATATTTTTTTACTGGGTTTTGTTGAATTAAAATGTTTAACTGTATTTTTAATACATTAAAATATATTATTTTTATATTAAATGGTTTTTGGAAAAAATATATTTTTAATATGTTAATAGTGGGTCCTATAGTGTTCTACAAATACATTATTAATAAGCTGAAATTATATTTAAAATATACTTAGAACGCATTAATGTGAAGCTAAAATATACTAATGCTGTATTTCTAAAGTCGATTTAAAGTGTATTAAAATACACTTTAAATAAGTGCTATTATATTACATTAAATGTACTTAAAATGGTTCCATTTTAGCACAATTTAATATAATAAAATATATTACTATTACCTTAAAATTGAACTGAAATTCATATTAAAGTACACTTAATATACTTGAAGTTGTTTCAATTTAGCACATTTAATACATATTTAATACGATGCACTTAAAATACATTAAGTATATCAAAATAAGTACAATTTAAATACATTTCCTTTTCACCTGGGATGTTTCATTAAGTTTCGTGTACATTTGTATTAAACATGGACCTTTGTTCATTTAAAAAGGCTTTTTATGCTATTGTATGCAAAATTTTTCAAATGTAAGAAACTAAGTTAAACTTGCAAACTGGGTGTTGGTGTGATGAGAAGTTCGCGCTCTGCTTTGTTTTTATGAGAGAACATTTACCCACACAGCAAAGGAGTCCGTGGCGGGCCCTCAAGCCGCCAGATCCGCCTGACTGTCAGATTCGTTTTCGCTGCGCTAACAGGATCCGCCCCGCCTCCAGGATCGGCCCCGCCTGCGCTTTTAATCGGCAGACCCAGAACCATAGACTGTAAAAGCCCAGAACGGATCACATTTGAATCCGCACTTCGGACGCGCCTAGTGAACGCATCTCTTTCGCGTTAGGACAGTGAAGTAAGTGTAACGTTAAGATATGTTTTATTAATGTTATATGTCATTGAAATATAATCATAGTGGTGTAACCTGCTTTGTTGAAGGTTTTGGTAAAATATTCACGGATTTTGGTTGCCATTTTATAAGGAGTTGGGGTATCAGAATAGCCTGTGGTGGATAAAGTAGCCCACCCAGACAGCAAACTGACATTGATTCAACGTGGAAACGACGTCTCTCATGACATCGAAACAACGTTGATTTTGCTCATCGAATTAACGTTGAACCAACGTCAGACGCGGCATTCTTCAAAGCTAAATGAAAATCGAAAATTGGTTTGCTTTCATAACGTTGATTTCAAGTTGATTTTCCGCTAGTTTTGAAAGAATGACGCGTCTGACATTGGTTCAACGTTAATTCGATGAGCAAAACAATGTGAGATCAACGTTGTTTCGATGTCATATTTCCAGGGTTGCCAACTTGTGAGTTTAGCTTGGAGTGAGATTTTTTTTTTTGGTTGTTTCTTTTGGGGGGGGGGGGGGGGGGGTGTGGGGGGGGGGGGCACAATGTCTTGTAGGGCACAATTTCCCCTGGGCACATGTCTTGTAGGCCAAATAAGCTAACAGTTTTACTGATTTAAACTGAATTTGTTTTGGGAATTAAGTTCATAAATTATTGTTCTTTCCCATATGATTTTGTACAACTATGTTGAGACATCGGTCCCTCTAGGGGGGTTGGGGGGCATGCTCCCCCGAAAGAAAATGTTGTACATTTTAAGGTTAAATGCATCAATCTGGTGCACTTTGAGAGCTCAAAATTAAGAGCTTTAACTGGCTTCAACCCATGAACTGTGACATTGGAAAAAGGAAAAGCCTCGACTTGTACCTGGACATTAAAGAGGGATCAAACATATTTTTAGTTATGATATAATCCTCTGTTTTAGGATGCCAAACGATTATTATAATAATGTAATAGGCCTAATGATTTATATAATTATTCCTATTACGTAAAATCCATATAGGCCTAGCCTATATATTCATCTAATAAATGTACTGTATAAATGAAAATGAATATTTCAAAAGCATATTTTACTTACACTCAGGGGCGATTCTAGGGTCAGAGCTTTAGGGGTGCTGAGCACCCAGTGACCCCACTGCCACCACCCACATTTTACACCTATATACGCTCCCTCTCTCTCTTCATTTTATTTATTTGCTTATTTGTAAGGGGGACAGTGTACACATTAATCAATATTAGAACAATGAAAATGTACCCGAGTTAGCTAAAAGAGCTAATTTTCATTGGTAGTTTATTAAAGATATTAACAAATTTGTAAAACTATGTTGGGTGGACTCTGTTCCTCTAGGGGGGTTCGGGGGCATGCTCCCCCGCTAGAAAATTTTGTAAATTTTAAGGTTAAATGCATCAATCTCGTGCTCTTTGAGAGATCAAAATTAAGAGCTTCAACCCATGAACTGCTCATTGAACAAAGAAAAAGCATTGATTTGTACCAGGACAATAAACAGGGCTCAAGCATCTTTTTAATTATGAGTCTCAGTCTGCATTACATTAATGGTTTTTTAGGATGCCAAACAATTATTATAATAATTATTATAATAATGTAAAAATGATTTATATAATTATTCCTATGATGTAAAATCCATATAGCCTATAGATGTACTATATGTGAAAATGAACATTTCAAAAGTATATTTTAGTCAACATTATACTATAGGAAAATTAAAATACTTTTGTCCTATTTCTAAACTTGCAAGAAATAATATATATAGGAGAAAATACCAGATATAACCATGCTTATCGCGTGAGCAAAGTGCACACTTTTCTTTAAATCACCCAGCAAAATTGGATGCCTATTCTTAAAGTCTTGTGCTGTTTTATATAGGCACAAAGCCATATCATGGATTCGATTTTAGTTTGTTGGCAAAATATAACACTAGAGCCCTTTATGTTAGGTTATACATTTTACATCTATATGTGTTGGGAAAAGGGAGAAGAGAGAGTTCTGCAAAAGGCGGAATCGAACTCAGGTCGAGTGCTTTCAAGCACATCACTCACGCACTACGACCTACGCCACTGTACTTACTCTGTGACGTGCATCTATTTACTAGAAAGACAGGCACTTACTGCAAATATACGCTCCGTTATCGAAAATGCAAAAAAACAAAAAAAAAAAAACATTTTTTTCTTCCCCCTTGCTTGGGCGCATGGCGAACTTGCAATGTATAGATTTTTTCCGACCGGCCCGCTAGACTAAAACAGCTAGAAAATAAACACTTATGGTTGTACCATGGTGATTCAGGATGCTGACTCAATTTCCACGTTGATTCAATGTCAGTTTGCTATCTGGGCAGTGCCTGATTTTAATTCACATTCCCTATATTCGAGCTCTATCCCGGATGTCCTATGTTTAGTTGTTTTAATTTGTGAAAGTTATGCGTAACGTTAAATTTATTGCAGTAACTTGCGCTAGCTTAAGTGCTAACGATGTGGATAATTTGCAGACTGTTGACTCGCTATTGTTGGGCATTCAAATGTGATCCGAGTTTACAAGATGAAATAAATGTCTCCGGCACGATTTTATCATCCATTGAACCAGCAGGAGATGACCATTTTCACTTTTTTAGCACGAAACTCATTTCACTTCGTTTAATACATAGTTCCCACAGGCAAAAAAATTGTCACGTGACCTCCCCGGAGACGCCATCTTTGAGGGCAAAACCGCTGTGTTTACCATAGGCGTTTACAACGTTTTATCAGAGAATGTCGTTTTACAAACAAATATTTATGTCTGTTTATATTGTTATGCAAATCATGAAAAGACAAAGTGTAATAGATTATAAAGAGACTATTAAAACAAGACATAGAGAGGTACAATGCGAAAATTTCATTCATAAATGGTGTGTATCCTTATGCAACAAAAGAAGAGCACCGATTATGCAACTTTGCCTCAGATACAGTATTTTCATGTGTACAATTATCTGGTATTGGTGAGGAGTTTTACACATGTGAGCAATTCCAAGCCTGGAAATCACTGGGAGGTGTACGATCAGATTGACGTGGGGTTGTTTTGGTGACGTTTGCTCAAGTGCAATCAATGGAAAAGTAACTTAAGTCATCATAGCGAAGTAGCATGATGCTAATCTGTCTATTAAAAAGCCATAGCCTGCACAACTTAATTCCTATGTTCCCAGTCACCGGTGATTTCTGTAATATGCATGTACTTGCGGGCGTCATGGTTCGGTGCATGAATATTAAAATAAATAACTCGCGTGCAATTTAATTAATGTAATAAATGAGGAACTACATTATACGCGGGATCTTTAGGGACATAATCTGAGATTGCAATGCTGGAATGTGAGATCAAACAGTGGAAACAATGTTGTTTTGTATGTTTTTAATACCTCGTCATTTTGTTCATACAGGACATTATTCTAACTGCAATGTGTTAACTTATATTTATTTACACTCGCAATAAAACACAACATTGTGCTTTTGTCAAACAAATTCTTGCATGTTTTGAGTGAGTTTCTTTCCTGTTTATGCTCGCCAGCCATAATCTCCGTCGTTGTTCGGACAAAAGCTTAGTCTTCTCACATCCATATGGAGTCTAATGACGGGTATAGTGTAAAATCCCAATTTAACTGAACCTCCGGCACGATTTTATCATCCATTGACTCAGCAGGAGATGACCATTTTCACTTTATAGCACGAAACTCATTTCACTTCGTTCAACTCGTATTGCTTCTTCTTATGTTTTGCCCTAAGCAATGGCGCCGGGTCGGCAAATGCCTGTATGTTGTGACGTCATGTGGGAACTATGTATATTGCTTCTTCTAATGTTTTGCCCTCAGCAATGGCGCCGGGTCGGCAAATGCCCGTATGTTGTGACGTCATGTGGGATGTCCTATGTTTACTTGTTTTAATTTGGGAAAGTGTGATCCGAGTTTACAAGATGAAATAAATGTCTTGATGGTTTATGGAACGTTATATCGTTTATTTGACTAATGTGCAGAAGACATCCGTTTTTCTCTGGAATAAAAGATTTCTGATTTTTTTAAGCGCTTTTAATCGGCGGACCCAGAACAGATCACATAACGTTACGGATCCGCACTTCGGACTCGCCTTAACGGACGCCATACAGTCGCATCTCCTTCGCGTGAAGACTGCCAGGTAAGCGTAACGTTAACATATATTTTATTAATGTTATATCTGTCATTGAAATATAATCTACCTGCATTGTCGAAGGTTTTGGTAAAATGGGAAAGTTATCCGTAAATTCATTGCATTAACTTGTGCTAGCTTAAGTCCTAACGATGTGGATAATTTGCAGACTGTGTTGAGTCGCTATTGGGCATTCCAATGTGATCTGAGTTTACAAGATGAAATAAATGTCTTGATGATTAACGTTATTGTTTTTATTTGACTAATGTGCAGAGGACATCCGTTTTTTTCTGGAATCAAATAAAGAATCACTGACCGGCCCTCACAGAAAGTTTATTCAAGTGTGCTAACTTCTATAATAATGTTCAGTCTACTTTTAGCCTATATATACTACTCCGAAATATGGCCTAAAATATAGCCTAAAAAAGCAGTTTACTTGACGTATATGACAGTCTACGTAGCTTATATTTGGCCTACAGGCCTACTCTTAAAGGGTTAGTTCACCCAAAAATGAAAATTCTGTCAGTATTTACTCACCCTCATGTTGTTCCAAACCTCTATGTGTTTATTTGTTCTGCTGAACACAAAGGAAGATATTTGGAAGAATGTTTTAATCAAACAGATGTCAATCCCCACTGACTACCAGTATGTATTTTTTCCTACTATGGTGAAATGTGTGTTCCATATATTTACCACCTGGAATTATTCAAACAGTCAATAGTGTGTTGATGGTAGAATAATTTTAGTTTTGCAGAACAGCACCATATTCATCAATTTATTTATTTTTTTGTTTCCACCAGCCCAGACAGCAAACTGACATTGAATCAACGTGGAAACGACGTCTCTCATGACATTGAAACAACGTTGATTTTGCTCATCGAATTAACGTTGAACCAACGTCAGACGCGGCATTCTTCAAAGCTAAATGAAAATCGAAAATTGGTTTGCTTTCATAACGTTGAAACAACGTTGATTTCAAGTTGATTTTCCGTTAGTTTTGAAAGAATGACACGTCTGACGTTGGTTCAACGTTAATTCGATGAGCAAAACAATGTCAGATCAACGTTGTTTCGATGTCATATTTCCACGTTGATTCAATGTCAGTTTGCTATCTGGGAGCTCATCTCGACAGAACAGACTGAGCTATAACGTCATGCCACTTCAGCTGCATACTGGTATCCAAAATCCTAATCACAATTTAACATAATTCTGTTTTCTTTGCAGTTTTTTATTAGATCTTGAGCTGAGGACCTAACACACCCCACACACACATAAACACCACCACACACCGCAACACACCCCACACGCACGCACACACCTCACACACCCCACGGTTACCCACTCAAAGCATGGACTCTTGCACTTCACTACAACCCCCATCATTCATTGCATTGACGACACACAGCTGATTCCAATAATCTTCTGCTCTACAATGGAGATCTTTGTTTCTGCTCCATCGCCCTGCTGGATTATATAGGAGCTTCACGTCAGTCCTGCCGAGCCAAAGACCTATGTCACGAATCTGTTCTATGCATTTCCGGTTGGTCACCACCAGAGGTTACCCACTCACATGGACCCTTGCACTTCACTACAATCCCCATCATTCATTGCATTGACGACACACAGCTGATTCCACTAATCATGCTCACACCTGATAACTATCTCACACTCTTTATAAGCATGCTGTTTACCTGGATTATCTCTCTTTGCCTTGCCCTGTTGGATATTGTTTGCCGATTGTCTACCCATACTTGCCCCAAGGATAACTCTGTGTCATTGCTCTGCCATACCTGTTTGCTGTTTATTGACCTTGCCTGCATTATGACCATGTTTTGGAATAAAGCCTTGCAAATGGATCCACGCGTCTCACAGTGAGGCTCATGAGTAAATTAATCAAGATACAAAATGAATCATTATTTCCTGTAAGTGACATAACCTAAAGACAGAAGATGTTTGGTCTGATATGCGTCACGTTTTTAAATGAAGAGTCCTTGAGCAAATAAGAGAGATGCTAAAACATAAGAAGTGTATGTAATGAATCAAGTCAGGGACTACGGATGAAAATGAGCTATTTAGCTAACTCTGGCACATTTACATTGCACATTAATCAACACCGTAGTAAGACTTCATTGTCCCAAATAAATAAATAAATGAAATAAAATCTAATTGTATTGTACAGTTTTGTACTCACGTGGCTCAAATACCAGTAAAGTCATCAGAAATAGAGTGAAGATGAATTCAGAGGAAAAGACGACGACTCTCATATCTCGAACTGCACCATAACCATTCACTGAGGATAAAATAAGGTAAATACACCACATACTTCATGGGTTATAGGTTATGTAAATATCTTACTGTAATCAGACACTGAATGGTGTTGAAGTGTTTTGTTCACTCACCTGTTTTCAGTATCAGTTCAGTCATCAGTGTAACAGCGTTCACTAAAACAACAACGACTGATCCAAACAGATACACTGGAACAAAACGGTGCAATTCTGTAAACAAATAAAATGATACACCACAGTTTAATTTCACAATTTAGAGGAAATGAGTCCACATTTTTTGGTCTCCACATCATTTAAAATCCTCACCAGTCTGCTATTCAAATATTTTGTTTAATAATGTTGATTAAAATCTGACATTAAAGTAACATCAAAAATACACCCACATGTTTCACACAATAGATTGACCTCAAAAGAAATTCCGCAATATAGCATTACTGGACTGGTAAAACTCTCTTCAGAAGAGTACGATAAAGGGGAATAAAAAGAATGAACTAGAGCAGAGTAGACAGAAAAACATCAGTGTGATACACAGCATTGTGAATAATACTGTACCACATTTAAATGACCATGCGAAGTTGATCACTGCCCAGAGTAACTGAAGAAACGCAATCGTACAGGTCCATCCCATACGATCTGTACATGAACAAAAACAGCTTCATAGTCACAGAAACAGTTTCTGTTCATTGACAAAGTTCTTCAGAGACTTTTGTAATTCATAATTGAAACAATATTATTTTACATTATCATACCTTTTTCATTTTCCAAAGTTATGATGTAGAAATAAACCATTACAGCATTGACTGATAACATGACAATTATCCATACTGATCTCCCGACTGAAGGTGAACCTGAAAAAATGGTTTATATTAAAAGAAGGAGTCCAAATATCTGGGTTTCTGACTGGATAAAAAAAATAAAAATACTTTAAAATCAAGATGATACACTAAACATTATTAAGCATAATATAAAGCATCTCACAAATGTCCTCAACAAATGATAACAAATTTAGTGTGTGAGAAATATTTATACATTTAACTATACATTAAAAATCATCAAAGATAAGAAATTAATAAATCTTACATCCACATGTATAATAGTTTAATTGTAAAAATTAGAATCGCTAAATTAATAACAGTGAAAGAGACACTTTTTGAATAATGTATGGATCGCATTGTGATGGCATGATTTATGTGTTTACATCTGGAATTAGATTATAATTCAATTACTTACAGCCCATCTTTTGGCCACATGTATCATCCCAATTGTATCTTGTTACTATGAGAAATACTGGTAAAACGGCAACAATGAAGTATCCTGAAAACAGAAGAGTGATTATATTAATACAGCTACTACTTTACTGACAGACATCAACAGATAATATTTTATTGTACTATTACTCATAAATTAATCTCAATAGTTCGTAAAGTTGAATTTACCTCCTCTGGCAGATCCAAAGGCGTAAAACAGGATGATGAATTGTAGTAAAGGTAGAACATCAAAGCTTATACCAGCCAAAACCTCAAATATAGATTGTATCTGTTTACTTATTCTCTCAATGAATTTAGCCAGCACTGTATAAGAAAACAAAAAATTATCAAATAATCAAAGGGGTTAATCTGATTTTAAATTAGAGCCATGATAAACAAGTACTGAACTTCACACAATCATTCACCATTTCCCCTTGAATATGATATAAACACAAGTACACACACACACACACACTATCAAAGTGAATTTTGAAAAACTCTTAAATTTAAAAAAACTTTACACACAGCCGTCAAAACATCCAAACATTAATTTTACACACTTTACAAACAAAGTAGACAATGTGAACGAAATACAAACACTCATTTGCATTTTGAAAGTAAAAGATGTAAATGCCCACAAGTGAATGTAGAGATTCACTTTACTGAGGATAGCTCAAAGAAATTTAAATGTAATCAATTTTAGATTCCCAAGTCTGGATCAAAGCCTCCCTTGCCCTCCTCCAGGTATGGCAACAACACTGAATAAAAGTCTGAAACGAGGGAACAGCAGCCTCAGCACCCTGCCAAGAAAACAAAGGAAGCAGCACATAAACGGGCAAAGCCCTGACACCGGCAAGGAGTTGTGGGCACACTCTGTCTACGTCGGTTGCTGACTCCAGAGGAAGGGGTAATGGGAGGAAGGCATCAAACCATCCACTCGAGAGCCAGAGGATGGAAGAGTAACTTGCGGAGACTTCACTCTGCCGACAGAACTTCCTCTAGAAATGGGAAACAGTCCACACAATGAATGGAACAGCTGCTACCTCGAGCCAGTGACACCACTCCCCTAAAGCCAGACGGACTGCCAGCAGCTCTCAATTGGCAATGTTATAATTCCATTCTGTGGGAGACACAATGACAAAGCTTCTTATCGTGAGAGGATATTTGAGACAGGCCCGCTCCGACACCCCCGAGGCACGTCCACCAAAAATGACAAGATAGGTCATGAGTAACAAAAATGTGAGCAGATAAAGACTTTGGATTTAACAAACACCTCTTGCACAGCTAAATACAAAATTAATTTAGATTTGATGGAGGTTAATGTTGTCAAAGGAGCCGCCACATGACAAAGATTCCTGATAAAACCCAAATTAAAACTGGCAATTGCCGAAGATCTTTACGAGAGCACGTTGTTGGCCAGTTATAAACAGCCTTTACCTTTCCAGGGCCCAAGAAACAGAACTGACTAGGCATGAAAGATTCACTTTTCCACTTTTGACAAAACTGTTTCTCCGGCAGCTATTGCAGCCCTCATCTGATGTTCTGGATGTGAACCTGAAAGGAACAAGAATAGATTAGACTGTCATCCGAGTACACAAAGATGAGTTTATTTATCATGTCTCTCAGTACGTCCTTGACGAGTGTTTGGAAGACAGCCGGAGCATTGGACAGGCTGAAAGGTAAAAACAAATACTTGAAAGGGTCTTCCACTCGACACCCATCCTAATCCAGACCAAAATGATAACCATTGCACAAAACATACGTTGGTAAAGAATCTATAGCCATTTGCAAAACCTCAAAATCTGAAGACATAAGAGGTAGTGGGTACAGTTATAACTTAACAGCTCACTTAACAGTTATGCCGTTCATCCCCCAATAGTCAATCAAGAGGTGCAAAGAGTCATCCATCTTCACAAAGGAGAATCTCAAGAGCGGACAAAGAGAAAAGAAAGGGCTGGAGCAGAGAGGGGGTGCTAGGGGGTGAGGTCGACCCCACAATCATACAACTGATGGGGTAAAAGAGAGGCAGCCCAGGACCTACTGAAGACCACTCGCAGATTGATGTATATCAGAAACCAGACACTGTAGAAACAACCGAAGGGGCCGGTAACAAACCATTTGCATGACAGAAAGAACTTTGAAAAATAAAACTATCTGCCCTGTTAATGTGTATGTTGTGAAGAGACAACCAGGTATATCTCAATTAAACAGACATAACACCAGATCCTCTCAGTGATTGCCGAAGGGCGATCAAACTCACTGGGCCAGTGAAGTGATTCATGGTCATCAACCCGTGCCCGTCAAGAAAATGAACAGAAAGAGGAGGAGAGAGGAGATGAATGGTAAGACCCCTCTGAAGACCCTCATCAATGAAATACTTTTCCGCTCCAAGTTGATAAGCGCAGCACACTTTAAAACTGAACCACTTATGGGCACCGAGCACCAAAGCACAAATACCCCTTTTCCACCAAAAAAGAACAGGTTTGGAACTGGTGCTGGTTCAAAGTTGGTTCGGAGTTGGTTCAACTTGCGAACCCGTTCAGAACCGGTTTGTTTTTCCACTGACTAGAGCGCCCAGGGAACGACGTTGTTACGTCACTGTGTACGTCGCCATACGTCTTAGCTAGAAACGCTTGCAAATACAACATTACTTCGGGATTATCTCTAACTCGTGTACCAAGCTTTAAAAACAATTCAAATATGTAAGTCTTTTAATCTTTTCGTTTGATATGTAATCTTTTCTGATTAGTTATGTACCCCTGTCTTGTGTCTTTTTTTCCTTTCCATTTATTTGTTCTATAATGTGACTGTTTTCTTCTTTGCTTATAATGTTTTCAATAATAAAAATAAAAAAATAGAAACGCTTGCGCCAACTTCAAGCATAACAATTACAAAGGTGGACTCCATTGTGTTTCTGCCAAAGGTTTCAGCAAATGTTTCTCCTGGCTTTGCGATGGTCAGAAAAGATGTTTAGAACACATCTAAACCCGCCCCCAGCCCCCGAAGTAAGCATGACATGGTAAAAGGACGGTTCTAGTCCAGCAAAGAGTTGGTGCCGCTTTGGAACCAGTTTTCCCGACCGAGAACCGGTTCTTTGGCTGTCGAAACACAAAGAACTAGTTCGCGCGCAGGCACCGGCTCCGAACTAGCTCTCAAAATGCTTTGGTGGAAAAGTGGCTAGAGAGAAGTACGAGACCCAAGAAGTGGGGAGATTGAAGTACCACTTGCTAGAATACCCCATTCTATTGGCGTGCTTTGGATTTTTCTGTACATGTATGTATATGCCTTTAGACAATCATTATTGTCTTTACTCTGAGGAGAGACAAAGTCTGTCACCCTGCATGGTCTCAGACTTGGTGGAATCAGTGACTCCTAGGAAGGAAGGATAATTAAATGGCTCCATCCGTGATCTGATGGAGGCTCCCTGGACTCAATTCTGATACAATCATCCTAACAAACATTGAGATCTATGAGGTCATCCAAAGACTCAGGGGGGCGCAGGCTTAAATCTAATCCTTAACCTACTCCACAAGACTCAAAAAACACGTTGTCAGGGTGTGGAATTTTCCACAGTTCTTTTGCCTTGCTGGAGAGCCTCAAGAAGTCTGAAACCTCTTTGCCAAAAACAGACTAGTCAAAACCTTGATAATTTCATTTTTAAAAAGGTGAACATCCGAGCAACACAGAGATTGAGAATCTCCTAGTCGCAAGTTCTTCTGGTCAGTAAGGAGATGACAAATGCCATTTTAGATCTTTCCAATGCATAGGTCTGTGTATTGAATTCCACTTGAGCCTCAAGAAGACCGAGAGGATGGTCATTGGTCTGATGCAGACCCTTGACCCTTATTCATCTTCTGGTGTCGTGATGTAGGTATGAAGGATTCAATGACAGAGATGATCAAGAAGGTCAAGACCAGGCAGGGCATAAAACTAGAATTACTAATAAAAAAACATAACGAACAAAATCCGAATTAACTGACCAAGCAGCTCATGTAAGCAAACAAAAACACTGGCAAAAAAGAGAGAAAAGACGAGAATAAATAGCAAAGAAAACAAGGAAAGAATGAAATGTTTCACTTAACGGACAAATCAGCCCTGATATTATGGTTTTTATATTTTGTGCCCATAGCAAACACCATTAGTCTGACAAAAACATGATTTCACAGGCACAGCACATATATCACTTGTTGTTGACTGAAGGAATCAGATATTAATACTTACAAAAAATTATATAGATGAGTTCGAACAGAAGCGCCACTACAAAGTAGAGTATAATCATGACACCTTCAAATCCCACGTAATTCATACTTTTTTTCAAGGCAGATTTGAACAGAACTGTAAGAAATCAAGAGATAAAAAACAAATATTACTAATTTAAAGCCAACCAAAACATAAAACACATCACAAGAATTAAAGACACCCTTTTCATCTCACATATGTTGTTTATGTAGAGTATTACAGTACAGTAGCTGAACTGACAGTCTGATTCTGAGCCTGTGACCTTTTGTCTGCTTGTATGACCTCTGACATCATCACAAAACATAATGAGAAGAACACTGTAAAAAAATGTGCATGTGCCAGAAAACACCACTACTTCACCCAAGTTTATAACTCCATCATTTTGTGAATGTATGCATTTGCGATGAGAGGCAACTTTGCTGGTGAAACAAAAAGAGAACAAAGGAGCGTCACATTTTAATGACATGGCACACCCAGTGTCTGAATTTGCTTACTTATTTTAATTTACTCTGTCAAGAACAAGTTATCTTATAATTTACAGAGAAAAAAAAAAAACTTTACATACCCAGAATTCCGTACATGACATTTCACTGTTGATGTTATTTAATATAAATACTTATGTTCTCTTACGAAAATACTCTCGTGTTGCGTAAGCTAGCATACGCTACGGGAAAAAAACTCTTTTCTCGAGAATACTGAAGCCAAAATTATCCTTATAATTTGTATTCATTTAAAACACATTTGCAGCAGCGAGCAGACGTAGGCGAGGCAGCTCGCGCGCCTATTGGCTGCTCTGTGGCAACTGCTACAACTTATCAAGGGACTGCTCGTGACGTAAGCACCAATGAGGGCATCACGTCCAGTCGTCATATCCCGCGCGAATGGGTGTGGCTTATGCCTATATAAGCCAGAGCTCGATAGGATGCTCCTTGATTTTCATTTCTTCAGCGAAGCTGTTGCATCACTGGATCTCGGAGAAGAAGCCTGCACCGTCGAACAGCCTTTTCAGTGGGACGAGCTCTCTGAGGAAGCCGGTCGTCTTCTCGCAGCTTTCAGTCGCCATTCCTGATGCGATGTCCGGCGCCCATATCCTTTCTTACGCTCCAATCCCCGCATGCTTCGCTTTCCTCCGTGTCACTCACTCACTTCAGCCGCTTCCATCTCCGGTGACGAGTTGGAAGGGGACGACGAAGAGGACAGCTGTTCCGTTCCAGTCCCCGCCCCTTCTCTTCAGGAGTCCAGTGGGATTAGAGCAAGCTTCTCCGCCTCCTCACGAAGGCCGTGGAGGACCTCGGCCTGGATTGATCGCTGCCCGATGAGCCCGCGCCCAACAGACTCGATGGCTGCTTTCTCCCTGGTCGCCACGCAGCGCCTCCCACGAGGCCCGCCCCATGGCTTCAGCCTCAGCGGTGCTTCATTTAGGCCTGCTTTGCATGCACCCTTTACAGCACTGGCTAAAGACATGGGTCCTGCATTGAGCATGGGCATCCAGTTGTTTACGTCTCAAGGTAACTCACAACTGTGTCACAGCTCTGGAGCCCTGGAAGGCAATCGGCTGGTATCAGACAGGTGTAAACCTGGGGCTAGTCTTGAAACTGAAAGTGGTTTCGAAAGACGCCTCCAATTCGGGCTGGGGCGCCCCCTACGAGGCCAATGGTACAACTTTTGGCCTATGGTCAAGCCAAGAGAAGGGCTTGCAAATAAACTGTCTAGAGATGAAGGTGGTCGAGAACGCCTTGCGGTTCTTCCTTCCTCTTCTAAAGGGCCACCATGTCCTTGTCCACACCAAAAACATGTCGGTGGTTTCCTACATAAATCCCCAGGGTCTGAGATCATGGAACCTTCAATGCACTGGCAGAACGCCTTCTTGTATGGGTTCACCATTGAGAGCGGCGCATGTACCATGCCATCTGAACGTGGGTCCAGACAGCCTGTCCAGGGACAACGTTCCCCCAGGGGAATGGTCTCTCCACCCTCAGACAGTTCAGCTGTTGTGGGGCACCTTTTGCACAGCGGAGGTCGACCTCTTCCCGTCTCAAGACAACGCTCAGTGTCCAATATGCTTCACAAAGAACAAGGATGCGCTGGCCCATCACTGGCCCAGCAGCCTTCTCTATGCTTTCCCAGCGATCACGCTGTTACCCCAGGTAATCAAGCGTATCAGGGAGAATGGTTCCTCTGTGCTTCTAGTAGCTCCGTTCTGGCTGAACCAAGTTTGGTTTCCGGAGCTGATGCAGCTTCAGAGACTGGCTCCATGGCTTATCCCGTTGAGGAGAGATCTACTCTCACAGGCCAGGGGCACGATTTGGCACCCACACCCCGAGCTTTGGGCTCTACATGTGTGGGCCATCAACGGCTACCCGTCAATATCCCGGATGGGGTGTTAAACACGATTACATTAGGCTAGAGCGCCCTCTTCTAGATGGCTTTCTGCTTCCAAGTGGTTAGTGTTTTCAGGTTGGTGCTCAGCTTGCAACCTGGATCCACAAGATTGTGGGGTATCGGAGGTTCTCTCCTTCCTACAGGAGCTTTTGGATAAGGGTAGATCCCCATCCACGTGTGTGTGACCGCTATCGCTAAGTTTGTCAAACATTCACAAGGTCAGTCACTGGGTAGGAACGACCTTGTAGTCCGCTTCCTCAGGGGAGCTAGAAAGATGAACCCTCCTCGACCCTGTATGGGACCTTTCCTTGGTCCTGAAGGCAGGGCATAATGACTTGCCACTCCTTTCAGAGCACAAGTCATTTCCCTGTCAGCTCTCTCCGGATCTGACAGCGAGTCTGACGTGAATCTACTTTGCCCAGTTAGGGCCCTGAGAATTAACGTGGATAGTTCGGCAGATTTCAGACAGTCAGTACAGCTCTTTGTTTATTTTGGTGGCCGATCTAAAGGTCTAGCTGACTCGAAACATGGCCTTTCCAGGTGGAGAAATGGACGCTATCTTACTGGCTTATGCATCTAAGGGCCTTCTTTGCTCTATGGGCATCAGAGCTCATTCCTCTAGAGGCGTTGCCTCTTCGTGGGCCTGGTCCAGTGGGATTTCTCTTCAAGATATCTGTATGGCGGCAGGCTGGGCCTCTCCGTCTACATATATAAGGTTCTATAATCTGGAAGTTCCCGCTTTTCAAGCTAGATTGTTATCAGTCTAGTTAATCTGCTCAGTTCTGCCGGACTCGCTTCCACAAACTGCAGTTTCAGTTCAGGCAGGCTAATGCCTCCTCTGACTGTTATACAGTGCCCTTGTTAATTATGGTTGTTAATTATACAATAATAAGTTGTTAATTAACACCCTTGTTCACTTAAGGTAATCACGTTTGCCTAATATCATTCTTATTAAGCCCATCCTTCGGCTTTTTATATCCCCATTTCATTTGAGCTCAGAGCACTCCACCTTGGGTCAGTGTTGTGGTAGATTTAACACGAACAGCGTTTTAAATTGGGTTCCCATAGCGTAAGCTAGCTTACGCAACACGAGAGTACTCTCATTAGAGAATGTCTCGGTTACTAACATAACCTCGGTTCTCTCTAGAAGAGGGAACGAGTGTTACATAGTGCTACCATCTGGTTTCGCTTCAGTTGATGAAAAGCATGAGCAGTCCCTCGACAGTTAGCAGCAGTTGCAGCAGAGCAGCCAATAGACGTGCGAGTTTTAAATTAATTTAAGGATACCTTTTGGCTTCAGTATTTTCAAGACACTCGTTCCCTCTTCTAGAGAAAACCGAGGTTAGGTTTGTAACCGAGACAATTCTTCCTAATTTTTCATAAAAGTTATTTACATTCAAGTTTTATATATATTATTACATTTTATGTTGTTTAATTAATGCTTATTGCATTCTTTTAGTCATTTGTGTCACCATGATTGTGTTTTGTATTTGTATGACATGGTGCGCCAGGGTATTATTTACACTGTATACCTATTTACACTCTATACCTATTTGCGAATAGGCCTACCCATTAAAACTAATTACGGCAAACTTTTAATCATCATGTGATTTTCTGTTTTGCCACCCGTATTATTATGAATATCAGAACATTATAAAGGTACACAGCATATTTTAGCACTTTAATGGGATGGCAGATTAACATTATCAGTTAATGAAATAAAGTGTTGTTTTTTTATTACCGTAAACTTGAGTCCTGTAAAACCTAAACTGTAAAAGCTGCCGTTTTTTTTTTACCATTTTTTTTACAGTGTACAAATATTGAATGCCTAGTAATTTATTTTAGAATTTCAACCAATTTACTGCAAGTTATTACAGCAACCTGTACTGTATGTTGATTTTAACTTTATTGATTTATGATTTGTTAAACATAACTGGGTTAATGCAACAATATGAATTGACTTGTCAAGTTAGGTCAACAAATTATTTTTACAGTGAAGACATTATAGCGTCTAAGTGACTATAACATTAAATGTGTAATAACTGTAACATATACAATCAATTTTTTCATGATCAGCTGGTGATCATAAATTGTTTAAGTTCCTTAAACACAGAGATTCAGCACTAAACACATGCAGAACCTGTTATAGTAAAACTGTCACACTTTTAATTTTCTTTTAGATTTGTTTACCTGAATAAAAAACAGCCGAGAAAACTATATATTCTGTTTCACAGCTGTAATTTTGAATAAATGTTTTGATTTTGCCTGTAAAGCAGAAAAAGATTAAATAATTAAACACAAATTCCAATAAAACACTTTACACTTTTTAATGGAATTTTTTTTGATAAGTGGCATACACTCTATTTTGTATAATAATCTGTCAGTCATTATAAATAAATCATACCTGTGAACTCATTTACATATGGAGCCGCCCAAAGCAATATGAGAGGTCTCAGAAAAAACAGAGCAGAACAAGAGACCGTCTCAAACAGAGACCCTGGAAACCAAACCAGATAATAACTGTTATAATAATAACTGCTGTATGAATAAACAAATACTTGAATGAAATTATAATGCACAATCAGTAGGGAAACACTCGCCTTCAGAAACACCCCAGAAGACAAAAGCAAGACACATGATCAAATTTGGACAGATGACTAGACACATCTGAAGACTGAGCGCTAGATCTACAGAGTAAAGACAAATTAACATATAAAATTAAGTTTCAGTTAAATATTGGTTCCACTTATTTAACTTCAAATGCTAGTAATTGAGCTTTTTGGTAAAAAAAAAAAAAAAAAAATTAAAAAAATTAAGTTATCTGTATCTCCTGTGCCGCATCAAGCCACTTCCATAATAGCGTTCAAATTAATGCACGGCATAGACTCAAACTACAACTGTGTGCATATATCTATAATTGACTATACAATACTATAATATTATTAACAAATGTATTTTAAAATCATTATTATTATTATTTATGAAATTGTTATTGTTCCAGCTTCCTGGTTCATTGGTGTTCTCTTGTAGGCAAGTAGCAGTGGCTGGGAAATACTTTAAGCATAACCTCCACTTAAAAATATACAATCGTATCCTGTTTATGTAAAACAAGCTGCTCCTGAGCAAGTCTGAGTTTATGGACCGGTTGCAGCAATGACATCAACTTCAGGATGTGCTTTGAAGAACCTACAGTGTAACAATTCTGGATCATGTCAAATCGTCAACAATGAAATCCAGATAATTGAGTAATCCACGTACGAGGAACGGACCCCAGATGGTTATTAAATGTATTTGTATCGTTCATCTGTGTCAAGCCTCTTGAGTTTATCTAGTCAAACCAGCACGTGACAGATGCATGCACTGTTTTTCTTACAGTAGGCCTACATTTTATATTACTAGATTCTACATTGGACACCAGGTGCTGACAAGCACAGTAAAATTGTTCACTGTATCTGCTAAATTGCGAATTATAGCAGATAAGAGCATGCACTGCCATGGCATTCACATAGACCTACCTTCACTTTGTAATCTGCAGTAGATTATAAAGCAGAGCAGAAGTGCAGATACGGATGTAGAAACACAGAGAATCAACACCATTATGTGTGAAACAGAGAAACCTGTGAAACACAGAAGTCAGTTACCAAGTTACACTATTATGAAGGATAGCCTATATATTGACCAACACAATGTCATTACTATGATATGTCAAGTGTGTTGTCGGCATGAATGTGAATCATGTGTTTGTGTCTTAATTGGTGTTAAAGAGGCTATATGCAGCTTTTTCCCCAAAATAAAACATAACAATAGCCTTTTTATTTTACCATTTATGACTCAAACATCTCCTGATGAGCATACTGACACCTTGTCTGCTCACAGTGGGTGCACCTATAAGCCTGTATCCTATTTTTCCTATTTTCTGTCGGGTCGGACTTTTCCTTTCATGTTACGCATTTTCCGCAAAGCATCCAGGCGGCCCTACATTTGAAAAAATGCAGCGCGTCAAAAAGCTGGCCGATGCCCATCTTTATGCAAATGAATAAAGTCCTTCTCTATATGAGTTCACATCTACCACAGACTTTTTTTTAGTGTAACGATGTGTTCAGTTGTACATTAACAGTGGAGTTTATGCTGTTGTTTACATCCGAGTGCCTCCATAATGGCCGCTCATCCGGGTTACCGCCCAGAACGTGAAAACCCTCAGATCACTCTGCCAGCCCACAACTGCTAGTCAGCAAGTAGCCTACACTCGCAAACAGAACACTTATCTCAAACAATATATGTATTTGACTGTTCTTACATCTGTAAACATAATGTTGACCTCCTTGCAGCAGATGACTTGTGAAGTGTGCATGTACGAGTGCGCGCTGCGAGAGCGAGCAGAAAGGAAGAGCAGTTCTGTTTTTTGGCCACAGGTGTCAGTCGGGAGTTTAAATTTCAGGAAAACGCATGTAGCCTCTTTAATGTATCTTAATTGTTAATGTATTTACTTTTGTACTGTGCTTATAGCTCTTTGGGTACAAGAAAAGCGCAATAAATAAAATGTATTATTATTATTATTACTATTATGAATAATCACTCTTTTAAAAGTTTTAGTATGAAAATGAAGGACAACAAACGGAAATGACAGGAAAACTGTCTATGGCAGAGCGACTGTCGCCAGAGCGCAGACTGAACATTTAGTGCAGGGGTGTCAAACTTAGTTCCTGGAGGGCCACATCCCTGCAGAGTTTAGGCCCCGTTTACACGAGAACGCTCGCGAGTGAAAATGTAAAAATATTTTATCGGATGTGCCTTTCGTTTACATGGCGACGGCGTTTTTGAGGCTCAAAAACGCAAAAAAGTGAAACCACCAGAGTGGAAATCTTAAAAACGCTCCACCGCCGCGTTCCCGTGTAAACGGTAAAGACGCAAAAGTCTGCTTGACAGTGAAGATTGTATGCAAGCGCATGGACTTGGTGTTGTTGTAGTATGCACTCCTAGCCGCCTGAAGTTGCTACTACATTAAATTTCACACACTTTTGCGTCTCCATTTGCATGCGGATTTCCCACACAAAACGCTCGTCTAAACGCAGAAAAAAAAGTGATGACGCAACGCCACTTTTGCGTTTTCTCTTCAGAATCGTTTCCGTGTAAACATATGCTGCGTCCCAATTCGCATACTATCCGTCCTAAATAGTATTCGAAAATAGAATTAGTACGTCCCACATCGTAGTATGTTGAAATGAGTGTTTCAAAGATACCCGGATGGTCTACTTTTTCCGGTCAGAATCCAAAGTGTAGATCGATGCACACTCTAACGGCTGATATTGCCCACAAACCATTGCGCGTTGGACGAGGATTCGATTAGAACTACAAACACGAGTAAAAACTGTTAAAAAACTACAGACAAGTCGATACGGAGAACGCGCGAGTCCCCGCGGTTGTGTAGAGAGGTTTAGATAAAGAGCTTTGAGTGATTAATTATCAGTATCTAACCTGACGAAAATGAATTTATTCAATGTTGTCCACATTATATTGCATTTGCAGCAGCATTGTGAACTTTTGTAAAGAAACGTTTAGCTATTACGTTTTAAATACATCATTATATTCAAATTGCAAACACGAGGAGAGCATGAAAGACCCACAACTGGCAGATGAACGTGCTCTCCGAAACGGTAGGAAATAAAATTAGATATAGAATGGAGGATTTTAACTGTGACAAGATGATTGACAGGGCAGTTTACGGTGACAGGATGCACGCAGCACGCGACAGAGCTATAAGTTAAAGATGACGTGACAGTATGTCCCAAAGCTTGTCTACTCTTTTGCTACACACTCAAAAGTATGTACTTTTTCCTCACAAAAAGAGTACATACTTTTAGGGTGTAGTATAAGCATACAAGTAAGCGAATTGGGACGCAGCAATTGCCTCAGCTTCAACCCTAATTAAGCACGCTTGATCAGCTAATCTGAAAAGCTAATCTAAGCTTTTAGGGCCCCCTTAAACGTCGGTAGATGGCGATCCCGGGCCGTCATACAACTGACGCTTTACCTTTAACGTCAGTTAGGTGATGGGTTAGGTTTAGGGTTAGGTTTAGGTCTGGGGTAGAGTTAGGATCCCATAACCTCATCTACCGACGTTTAAGGGGGCTCTAAAAAGGCGAATATTGACGTATGGTCAAAAGACGTCCCAAAACGTCAGTTATATGACGTCTTGGGATGAGACCGGGTTGAATAGACATGTTTTACATTTTAAAATTTGTCCTTCGTACTTGACGCACTTTTGCCTCTGTTCACAAGTATGAGAGGTACTGTACACTCTTAAATAATAAGCTTCCCAAGAGAGGGGTTTTCAGATGCCTTAATTTGTTTGTCTTAACGTGAAGAACAACTCTTTGTGCAATGGAAAGATTCCATGGATGTTAAAAATTCTTTATGGAACCATAGATCCCTTTTTTGTGTGACATTTTTTGAGTGTAGATTACACGTAAATAAAAAACATGAAAAAATTCTGAATGCCAATAAAGTACTTTACTTCTGTCATACAAAAACGTTCCTTAATTCACAGCTATGTATATGTAGCCCAATGGAAAATAACAGTACGTATATATGGTAATAATATTTCTAACTAAATGAAACTCAATCTAAATCTGGATATGGATATTTATTTTTCTTAATCTAGAATACATCTCTGACTCACCCAGTCTCTCAAGTACCACAGTTGAATTGGCTGAAAGTACTCCAGCAAACACATGACACATGTAAACTCCTTTGTCCTCAGTTCTGACACTCTTCAGTCTGAGAGAGAAGTTTCCTTTGGGGATTTCATCAATGAAGAACTCAACTCTGTCTCTGTATTGCTCATCTGTTAAATCTGGAAAAGCCTTATTGTTCAGGTAAAGCAGAACCAGAATATCTTCATCTCCATCTGTTTTCCTCCATGAAACCTCTTCAATGTGTTCAGGTTTGATGTGAGAGTCGATAGAGCAGTTCAGAGTGACGTCCTCACCCGCATATGCAGATACGGAGCGACTCGATCCTGATACCAGCAGACGCTCTGAAGGAGTAAGAAACCCTTTTAAATAAATAAATAAATACTAGGCTGTTCTACATTACAACAGTCCAGTTATATATGTTATAGTGTTTTATACAGTAGGCTACAGGTTTCAGTAATAAACAGGAAAATGTGAAAAGTGTTAATGTTGGAAAATTCATCATGAAAATTATTCCAGCCATAAAGCAGTTCTACAGAAGATAGTGCCATTATTCAGCTACTAAAGCAGCCACCTTCCAGTGCCTAGACAAAGCCTCCTGATCTTCATGGGACTTAGGTCAGGAAGTCACTGCTATTCCACAAGACCCATTCAGTTTAGACTTGGATAACACTGGGAAAACATACCCTGTTTTAAGAAGGAAGGGTACGCTAGGGAAACCACATCCTACCAGGAGGGAGGTAATGTGGAGAAGACATATGGAATGTCACTGGGGTGGCTCCAGCCAAACTGACTGACTGTGGTGGATCACTTAGAACCTCCGCGTCCCGTCCAGAGAGCAGACATGGAGTTTCCATAAAGCCTGTTTGATGCGTACCCCCGCAGACCCCTATCCGTCGACACGAACCCCTCTCCGACCCCTCCGCCGTAGCTCGACGTGCACCTCCAAAAATTTGAAACTACGCGTCGAGGGGACGCAGACAGCAAGGGCTTTGATTGGTCAGATTATACATCATTTCAGGAGTGTAGCTTTTCCGATTTTTCCCCTCCCGCTATTAGCGCTATTTTTAACATTTGCGTTCTGATAATTATAATACTCTTATAAAGTAAATAAAGAATTAAACTAAAAATAAACTGTTTTTTTTATTTCATTGTTAATATATATGTCTATATTCTTTTCTTTCTTTTTTGCTCGCAATAAACTTCAATCAATCAATAAATCAACGTTTGTTTTGAAACACAGTTTGTTGTTTATTTTCAATACAATGTTCACGGTTACATCATTGATAATACAGTACTAACCAAGTCTGCCACGGGACACATTATATCCTGCATAGCACAGTTCCATGTGGAAACTGAAAAATCCTTCAAGTCATTCCAAACAGTATCGTTATGGCAGCTCGGGTGGAACCTTTATTTTACTGTCTATGGGTGGAACGGGCCCTGGACATCCGTGTTTATTCTGTGGGGATAAAGTTTGTGTCGTCTCGTTATTCAACGTCGATTAGCTCCTGCTGGCAGCTGCAACAACAACATTCTCTCTCTTTCGCTCGCGGCGCACGGAACCAAAGAGATTCGCGAACCCCCATAGCATTCTGGCGGCGAAATGCACCGCGATGCACCACAACCTCACGCATAAAACGGCCACGACGCCGTAGTTGTGACGACGTAGCTACGCCGTAGAGTTGACGCAGAAGCATAATGAGGCCTTAAGTCTGGACGCGTACCATACAGTTCCCTGTGCCTGAGTGAGGAGATCATCATTTAGAGGAATGGGAGAGGGAGGGGCTGTCGAGAGGAGCACTGATTGGGGAACCAGGTCCAGTTGGGCCAATAAGTGGCAACTAGCAAAACCTGCTCCTCTTGTTCCCTGACTTTGCACAATGGCTATGCAATAAGGCTCACTGGGGGATATGCATATTTGCGGAGGCCCCAGGGCCAGCTGTGCACCAGCGCATCCGTGCCGAGGGTCCCCTCGGTCCGGGAATAAAACAAGTCCGGAGAGGCAGACAGATCTATCTGTGCAATAGAGGTCTTCACAAAGTACCCGAGACCCATCAACCCGGGACCCGACCCGGCACCGGGTTCGGGTCAATGTTTTAAATGATCAGTCGGGTCCAGGTCGGGTCCGAATCTATTACTTCGGGTCCCGGGTCTGTTTAACATTGTGTGTAATACCTGAGTCGATCAGGCACGAAGAACAACCGGCCATGATCAGAGTCAGTCAGCACTGCTTGTGTGTTTTTTGTAACTTGCAACTTTAGGTTTAAAAAAAAACCACAAAAAAGCTCTTGAGGTTGCTCGCTCCAGGCAGCTAACGGGAATGTGCAGTCTCACGCGCATCATGTTTCTATGACAACCAGAGCGGGACTTATTCCGGCAGGCTCGCTTTGCACTTCTCCAAACACTTCTTTACTACTCTCCAATTTTTATAATAATTAACCGTCTTGTTTAATCTTAAAGTTTTGGTGGTCAGACTTCGCATAGAGATGATAGCAAATAAATAAAGCTAACGTCAGCAACCAAGGCACTGAATGAGCAATCGTTATTATAATTTAAAAGGGCAAACGGTTTTTATGCCAGTTAAGTCGAGTTGAAATTCAAATCTGCTAAGTCGCATTTGTCATCCGTCACCGTGACATCAAGTGGACTTTTGAAGCTGATATAATAAGTGGATTAAGCTTGGAATAACAAGAGGAATAACATGGATAAAACTTTCTTGTCAGATGGTAATCATCATAATCAGTCAGGTAACGTTACAAGGAAGTGAGACGACAGCTACTAAAATTAGGTAAGACAATAAGTTTTATTTTTCGCAACTTGTGTGGAATATATTTGTCGGGTATGTGTCTTCCCCCCCGGTTCGGGTCCAGATTTTGAAAAAATTGACGGGTGAAAAAAAATTTACCTCTTTGGTGTATCTTTACTGAATGAATAAGCTTTTTGAATGAATCAGCTGAAACAATGATTCAATGACTCGCTCATTAATGCTGGGCTTACACCAAAGGATTTTCACAGTCCCAGACTAAAGACCGGCAGTCTTTAGGAATCTCACTGGAGTCTAGGCGCGCTCCCGCCGTCTCGATCTTTAACTGTGAGGTGATAATCTGCAGTCGACGACCCGATTTATGCCAGTCTTTCTGTAGTCTTTCATATCAAACATGTTTGATATTATCGTAAGTCCTAGCGTAGTCCTAGTGACGTAAAACAATCAACAACCAATAAAATTGAGGTTTGCGTGTCCGCCTCTCACACCAGAGACACAAGTTCGAGACCCACTCATGGGAGCTGTCTCAGGGAGCCGGCTGGATGTGATGGTAATTACACATTGTTTCCTGATATTGACTTTTTTCCTTACCAGAAAAGTTATTTATATCTACTAGGGCTGGGCGATATGGAGCAAAAAATTATAGTTCGATATATGATAGAAAGCAGAACGTGGGTATAGACGAATCCGACGAGAATTCTGTGTAGGCTGCCATCTTGTGGCGACGCCATTACTGAGCTGTTAAACTGTTGTATTTCATACGACTTTAATCGGCATTCTGTGATCAATTCGCGCTACGGTAGCATTTTTCGACAAGGCAGCAAAAATCGACAGAACACCGGCATAGACATGTGCACCGGTATGTAAACAAACCTCGGTGATAACGCGAAAGCACCCTCGATGACAGCTACAGCCAGGCAGAATGACTTGTTGGGTTGATGATGTTAGACAGTGGCCTCCAGTCACAGATGAAGGTACAAACGATCTAGATTATTTATGAAAATAGCTTGGCAAGTTGGCAAGCTAGCTAGGCTAACATTTGCTAACGAGGAAACTATAGACCATTTCACAAGATGTAAACAACACTGGTCCAGAAGCACTTCCTGTTTCAGTTTTTTAACACTACATAAAAGCTGGGATAAAATACAACCAACAGAACATTTAAAACTGAATTAAAAAGTTAAACAAACATCTTTAAGATGTTTTATTTACATGTTAAATAAAGAAAACAGTTACAAACTGAAACAGGAAGTGCTTCTGGACCAGTGTTGTTTACATATTGTGAAATGGTCTATAAAAAAAGATCTGTCCATTTGGCAACAATAAATAAATGAATGAAATCAAAAAAACAAATTCATGTTTTTCCTTTGCGTCCATTATTTATCTCATTTTCACATTGCAACAGGCAAGGGTAAGGTAACGTTACAGCTAGAAAATATACATATCGACCAATTGGTGTTTTTAAACCATGGAAAGAGGTCAATATAACAGCAGGAGAACAATTATGTCGCATAACTTTACATTTAGCTCAGGAAAGCCATTTAATGACCATAGCATGTTAATTGAATAGAAAAAATAGCAAGAGAGGAGATTTTGCCGATCACTATCACATATTTATTATATTTTTTTACTTATGTCATTAAATAATTGTTATTATGCGAATGTCCGCGTCTTGTACTCGCCCAGGAAATCTGTGTAAACCGTACGGCTCCAGACAGGGGCAGTCGACCCGGGGTATTCACAATGTTTTCTCTTCAAAATTGAAATTTTACTGCCACCATTGAAACAATTTATAACGGAAACTGTTTACCCACTCGACATTATACAAGGGCTAACGTTGTAACGTTAGTGACAGTCGTAAATCGCGGGCTGTTTATTCCAGTGGACGCAAGTTGCGACTAAAACAATAGGAGGCAATGGCGCAACGCTACCCAGCAACAGCTCAGTAATGGCGCCCGCTTACTTCCGGTAGTTTCGCCGGTTTCGTCTATAGGCTATATCCGTATTTTCCGCACTTAAGGCGCACCTTCAATGAATGACCTATTTAGAACATTTTTCATAGGGCACACTGGATTATAAAGCACATAAAATACTACAGTCACATGTTTTACTGGCTTTACGTTATGCATCCATTAGATGTGCTGAGAATGTAGCTAGCGAGTGCGCGGCGCCGGAGGTGAGGCGTTAATTAGTGTGAGCGCGCTCGGTCGGGCACGTAACTTACATTCGCATGCTGACTGTTCGTGTGAGTAAGCGCTCGTGAGCGGGAGACACACACACATAACTGATTTTTACGAGGTACCGTTGAACTGGCCGTGTGACAAAGCGGGCATAAGATGGACACGAGCGCGAGTTCACGGGCGAATTTAATAACGCGGAGCGTTGTTAACCAATTTGTCCAAGGCGCTTGATATAAACTGCTCCGGATTATAAGGCACACTGTTGTTTTTTGAGAAAATTAAAGGCTTTTAAGTATTCATTTGCTTCTATTATGCGCAGTTGAGTCTACAATACAGGTTTGGTTTACTGTGCGTGTCACATTGCTTGCAAACGCACTCTTCTGAGGAGACAGGGATTTCCAAATGTGTTGCTCTGATTCCAATGCACGAATACACTTCAGGCTCACTCTTGCTCGTATCCAAGGTAAATCATCAACACTATCATCCCTTACAAGTGTTTAGTTATGAATTCATCACAATAAGGACACATGATGATGCGCAGTATACTTTACTTCCTGAACAAGAGCGCGCCCTAATCCGTGTTTCTTTGCTTTCACATTCACGCAACCGCGGCACTAGAATAATGGGAGGAATTTGGTGGGAAGCTAAAATAATCTAGTTGTAGTCTTGTAAATAGTGTCACTAAGATTCAGTGTTTGTAAAATCTTTAGTCTGAGACTAAAAACTCTGAACCCAAAGTCTTTAGATGTGAGCTGATAATCTTATAAAGTCTTTTCTAAATCTTTTCAAAGTCTTTTGGTGTACACCCGGCATAAGGCTTCCTTACCAAATCTCAATGACTCACTGATTAACAGTGACTTACTGCCACCTCCTGGCGGGTTTAATTTCACATTTAAAGTAGGCCTAATTTTTTTAATTGTTTCAAATAACAGTATTTAACGTTTTATAAATGTTCAACATTTCAAAACATTAATTATGCATCTTTAACTTAACTTCACTGGTTAACTTTAATAAAGGCTGATCTAGTTATAGTTATAGTAAAAAAAAAAAAAAAAAAAAAAAATCCTTAGCGTTGAGCCCTGTGGGGTATCAAAAAGTATTTAAAAAAATTATTTCTCATCAAATAAATTTATTTCTAAGTGTTATAAACTATGGCTGGGCGATATGCCCAATAAATCATCACTGCCAGTTGAGTCCAGGGCATTTCAGTTTGTGTTGTCCGGTCTCATCAACGCTACACCAATTCATTTTGAGTTGCCCTGTATTCCTTTCTGCCTGAGGTTAATTCTATTAAAGATATTTTTTGTGCTTTATGCTACGGTTCGTGGCGCGTATTGAATCAGGTTAGAATAAAGTGTTGTCCTCCTAAAAATAACTCTGATAACATTTAAATACAATAAATACACAACAATAAATCTAGATTAATCCTTATTAAAGTTACAAAAAGTGTAGATAAAAGTTGTATACACAAATAATGTAAATAAACAAAAATGTGCATTTTATTTACACTCAGCACCCCTACCACCCACACTTATTTGAGCAAACTTTGCTTTTCCAGTGGGTGTGAGCTTTACATGAGTGGAGCCGTTTCATAACTTAAAACTTACACCCGGATAACAGACGACTGTCATACTATGAACATCACATGACTAATGGACAAAGTTCACTCTGTCAAAATCTTGAATCTGCTCAAAGTACACCAAAGATGTTGGATGAATTTAGTCATGAAGATGTTTTGTCAACAACTAAGTTCTTGCAACTTCTTTGAGACTCCCGTTTAAATATATAATGTATGGATAATCTTATGTACTGGTAATGTGGTTTAAGAGGTACATTGTCCCGTTGAATTATCCTTCTTTTTGCAGGTCTAATCAGCCACAGTGGACACAGTAAAGCCACAATTCAAACAAAATTCACAGTTCTTGTATTTCTATAATAGATTACATTAATGTAAATGTCATGTACTGTAAATGTATTGTGTCAGATGTTTACTTCCAGCTAAGCAGGTCTTAATTTTGATTTCAGGTTTTCATGTTCTTCATTCTTTGCGAAAAACAACCTGGGGCGTTAGCTATTGAAAAGATGGTGAGCAGTTTATATAAATTAAACCTTTATTAAATGCTTGAGGTTGTCTTTCAGCAATAAAGAAAAAACAGTGTATAGTTGTAGTAATAATTCTAATTCATTTAGTATTATAATGTTTTTTTATTATACTTAATGGCCTAATTATTAACAGCTACATTACCAGTGTTAAACACACAAATCAAAACTGCAATTGAAACCTATAGCCTACAAATCAATAAATCCTAATGGAATAGGCTATGGCCTAAAACACACTACGCAGTGGAAACAATTAACCAATATTTTGAATGGTTTGTAATGGCGATGGTTTGTAATGATTTCTATTGTTTTCTTTCAGCAGGGCGTAGTCTACTTACCATCAACGCTCAACAGCAATACTGACACCAAAACACAGACCTGTAGGTACATCTTCAAATGTGCAAAGTTACGATCCTGTACATGAATGCAAATATCACTGCTAACGGACGCACTGTTGGTGAAAAGCAGCGATTTGCTTCCTTGCTTTCACTTTCAGTTGCCACTGTTAAATGATCTCGGGTGGCGTCAGAGCATTTTTAACGAAAAGTTTAGCACGTATGACACTGAAACGGGGCAATCCGAGAAAAAGAGAAGTAATTACACGAATGTTGTCGCACTCATAGATGTATAGGCTGCACCCGAAAACATAAGCAGCTGACTTGACCAATGAATTTTAAGGCATGCTACCCCGGAAACAGTTTCGGACACTCTGAGCCTTCAGGGGCCGTGTAACGGAATGACGTTGCTAGGTTACCAGCTGCTAGTTAACGCCATCCTAGCTGTGTCCCAATGTGAAGGCTGCATCCTCCGAAGTCCATGGGTGCTTCTCAATATCCCTCCTCGTCTCCTCGCTCCTCCGTCCTCCCTCCTATGACCCGGAAACCGATCGAGCTCAGGCATCTTGAAGGACATCTCAATTCTCTAATTGCACCGTGAGGAGTCGAGGATATAGGAGGCTTCCTGAGGAGTCATAAGCGAGGATACACAGCATCCTACGCGGAACTGTTATATTGACTAAACGTGACGCACGTGTCAATTCTGCTCCCCCTTCACATCGATCACAATCATTTTACTTTATACTTTACCTTTGCAGTTTATATAAACCACACATCTCAGATATTTCAACAGTATAGTCTATCTTTATTATTATTTATTATGAATTACCAAACTTCAACAACATAAGGGCAGATCCTTTTAGCGCTGCTGATGACACTGTGGAGTGACGCTCGAGTGATCAAGAATTCCAATGTATATAAAAAAAGCTTTTATTCGATTCCTCTGTCCTCCTTTCCTTTCCTCGCTTCCTTCCCTCGCGTCCTACAGGGGGTGGAGCTGAGACGCAAGGAAAGGAAACGAGGATGCACAATAAAGCATAAAAAAAAAAAGTAAAAAAAAAAAAACAAATAAAAGAAATGGGTGCTTCTCATTTCTTATTTGTGCATCCTCGTTTCCTTTCCTTGCTTCCTTTCCTTGCGTCTCAGCTCCACCCCCTGTAGGACGTGAGGCTCTACTTCAGCCGCAACCGAATCATGTGAAGAGTTCACTATGCTAGGCGCATCCAAAACACTATCTAAAGATCTAGCATTCTTACCATCCTCAATTAAAGTTTGGATGCGTGTCTCCAATTCTGAAATCTTCTCCGTCAGCCTGACTGTCTCCATGCATTTATCACAGACAAATCCTATATTGCCATCGGACAAGGCTATACTAAACACGTGACACAGGTGACAATAACAGGACAAGACATTACTCACCTTGTTAGGGTGAGACATCTTTATAATACTAAGCAAAGTCTCATGGATATTACATTATATTGTTTTAAAACTATATGGCCTTATAGGTCTTGAGTAGTCAGGGGCTCAATTGTGGATTTTGTTGCCTCTGGATAACAAAAGTATTTCTAATATGGTTGGATTTAGTGCGAATGTTAAAAGTTGGTTATTAGATAGGTTGTTTAGTCATTAATTTTTATTAGTATATTGTAAGAAAGCTTATTGTAGCTTTGTAGTAACCTGTCACTATGAGTGAAGTCAGTAGCGAATAACGAAAAAAAAAAAAAAAAAAAAACAGAATATGATCCAGGCAGCATTTAGTGTGCAAAACATCTGGGAGGTCAAAACTGTCCAGGCCAGGTGCAACCCATCTGGGCCATAGCTTTGCTGGCGGGGAAATTTAAAGAGTAGATAAATGTTTTACTCTGAAAAGTCAATAATATAATATACAAAAGAATATGCACATTTGTATGTATACAGTACCTTTATTTGGCTAGCAATGTGTTAGGCCTACGTGTAAACAAAAAAATACCATTTGCATTTCTTCAAAATGATAATAATTAATTAAAATGACTAATAAGAAGACTTGTGAAGGACTTTCCCACTTTTTCTACCTTGCTATTCAGGCCTTACATAGAAATGTCATCTTAAAATCATATATATAAGCCAGAATCAATTTATGTCTAATGGTGCTTTTCCACTACAGAGTACCAGCTCGACTCGGCTCGCCTTTGTTTGGTTTTCCACTGAGTAAAAGTTGTACCTGTACTTGCTTCGTGTAGTTTTTTGCATCACCTCCAGCGAGGTTCTGCGCGAGCTGAGCCGGTACTAAAATGTGACAAACAATGCCGCCTGCTGATTGGTCAGAGAGAATCGTGCGTCATTGCACGCGCCATATGGAGTATCCAGAGTAACCCCGCCATTTTTAAATAGTTTGGCCAGAGATAGTTTCTAAACTTACTACTATTATTATAGCAACTCGGAAGAATACGGCGTGGTCAAACGAGGAGGTGCAGACTTTCCTTTGTTTGGTTGCCGAAGTGAGGATCCAGCGAGAGCTTGATGGGGCAGCGAGGAACGAAAGGCGTCGCTATGACGACCGGGAACTATTTGTGGCGGTACTGTCCGCAATGGAAAACGGCGCGAATGGCGAGCCGAGCCGAGGCAAGTTGGTACTGGTAATGGAAATGCGCCATTAGATAGCACATATGTTCCTGTTTCTTTCACACTATGAAGACTTTACCGTTCATCTTTCTTATGGATTCTCTGGTGTGTGTTATCAGTCTAAACACTTTCTCAGACTCACAGCACACAAGTTTCTCATGTATTTTCTGGTGTCTTTTATAGGAGTAAACTCATTGAAACCTCCTTCCACAAACAGGACAGATGTACTCCTTTTCATTTCTATGAACTTTCATGGTGTTTCTTCAGTAATGATGCCAAAGCAAAACAATTCACTGCAATGATCACATTAAGGAGTGTCTGAAAAACACTGTTGATATCTGAAATCAACACAAACAAATAAACAAACAAACACATCCATCCCCCACACAGCTCACAATAGTATCTAAAACAAGAGTTTGTTGTTAGTGGCCAGCAACAGCACAGCAGATCCAGACAAACATGACACTCAAAACTGTCCTGTTACTAGACAGTAGGCTTCCTTTAGAGTTAGCATTTCACTATATATCTTGGTTCTGTCAAAAATAGCAAAACAAATGCTCACATGTGGAGTAGAAACAACGCAATAACACTTCGGTCCCACTTTGGTCTATCCAACGCTGGAACGGTTTTCTAATAATAATAATAATAATAATATGGCTCCTAAAGCTCTAATCCAGTGATTTTTCTCTGAAATTTATCCCTCGGCCATCTCCATCTTTACATGTTCTAGTGTTTCTCAGAGAATGTCTAATTGAAGAGAATTGGCACTGGCTGGTTACTTCCGGGTTCTGGACTGGCTGCAGTAACACGTCTCTGTCCATGCGGGGGCGCTCGCGGTCAATGGGGTTTCACCTCCATAAATCCACTTTTCTCAGGATGTAATTTTTGTCAAGTAATTTGAAAGTTGTTTTCAAAGGGAGGGCTAAGAAATATACACTCAGCTGAAAATTGCATTTTTAAGTTCACTTATCTGTTCTAAAAATCCGTTCAAACGTGATGACGTCAACAATAGCAGAATGCTAGCGTGCTCCAGCCAACAACAGCCTAACCTGTAAGAAATCAAAAGGACATAAGTACTCATTCATTCGACTTTTGGCCTATAATCTATATTGACTTGCGGAATCAACAATAAAATCTATGTTAATTTAACGACAAGCAGGTGAAAGAGACACATTTAGCCGTTTAGCCCCATAGACTCCCATTCATTCTGCACTCGCCCGTGATCACCTCCAGTGGAATTCTAATGAACTGCAACCAGGATGATACACAACGGGGCTATAGGAAGTGCCAAGGCTCTCCGTTAGACGGGCTCTGTCTTTCTCAAATCTCCCTCATTCTCACTCTCCGTCTCGTCCCCCATCATGAATGGACACGCCCTCTACAGCTGATTGGCCACAAAGTGTGTTGAGCTGCTCCATCCGATCCACTTTCCAACAGCTTTCCTGTTTCTCACTGTATCTCTCCGTTGCCTTGTTGCAGAGTGAGTATAACGAAGATGCGCTTTTAGACTCGTGTTCCACTTAAATCTCTTCTCACACAGATGACACGCGTACGACATCTCTTCAGTGTGATTTCTCATGTGACTATTAAGTCCTTGTTTAAAGGTGAAACTCTTGCCACACTGAGAGCAGGAGAAAGGCTTTTTTCCAGTATGAAGTCTCATGTGAGTTTTACAGCTTTCTCTACTTGTGAAAGTGTTTCCACACTGAGAACAGGAGAAAGGCTTTATTGACATGTGAGACATGTGAGAATGAAAGAGCAATGTGTAACGTTTTACCAGATTTAGTGCAACACATATTGTCTCTTATTTGTTCCCCCACTAAATAATGTTTTTTTTTTTTTTACTGAGACATACCATAGTACTGAGACAGCTCTAATTAGAGTCACAAATGTTTTGCTCTTATCATCCGATCGTGGTTTTATCTCTGTAAGTTAATCGATCTTATTGATACTATTGACCGTTCAACTGAGGCCACAAGATATCAATTCGAATTGATTCTCGATTTTCAATTTGATTGTAGTATTATGATGATTTCAATTATTCTATTTTGACTGGCCCCACCACCACAAAGAAAGAAAGGAATAAAATGGTTATTGTTTTTTTACACGTGTATTCTTGTATTGTAATAAATAAGGTTATGACACGCCAAATTTTAGATATCAGTGAAACTTAATTCTCGATTCCAATTTCAATACCAGCTAATGGGTCCATTACGATTTTTTTTTAACTTAAGTCAGTCTGTAATGTTGCTGTTTGAGCATAAAAACAATCTGTCCACTTCAAAGGGGATATTTTAATAAACAACCTTTTCAAGAACTACAACTAACCAGTTTGGACTACATACAACGCGATTTTCCCGGCTTTTTGAAGTCAACATATTCCTCATTTAAATAATCCGCGCCCACGGAATAAGCAAAAAAAGGTCTCGATTACTGTTTGGATTAAATTAGTTTATATAATCATGATTAAACGGTTAACATAAACATTAGTAAATAAACAAATACAATGAAAACGTCATGTAAAAAAAGTGCTAGTCCGTGAATGAATGCGGCTTGGAAACATATTCGTAACGTTACTTCACACACCAAAAACAAAACTTTGTAAATGGGCATATGGGACCCCTTTAAAGATGAATGAAGAACCAACCTTCTTGTTCCTCGTGTTTTATTCTCCAGGGTTCTGGTTCACTCATGTCCTCCTCACTTTCCTCTTTAACAAACTCCATCTTCACAGTTCAGTTGATACTCCTCCAGATATTCCTGCTTGATTCAGAACTTAGTCACGTTTATTGACCTGTTTAAAAAATATATCGTTCTAAAATATCTTAGTAACAGTTTGTATAAAGCCAGTACCACGTAACAGAAGAGCCCATGCTGAAAAATAAAGTTCTTCCTCTGAGGTTAATGGTGGTTGTAAACAAACGGATGTGCTTTACCGCCACCCACTGGACTGGAGTGTGAAGCGTCAAGAGGAGGACAAAACAATACAAGGAAGAGATGAATTGGTGCGTGGACAATGGAATATGTCCTGCAATATATTTTTCATCCAAAATACAAATAAATGAAAATACTTTAAAAAAAGTTATATATCCTACACTCGCTTTACATTTGAGTTATAGATCAGAGAAACGAGTTTCCAAATTTCATTCCAATTCAGGGAAAATCACGGAATGTTCTCTAATGGATATGTTTAATTTTTCATAATCATATACTGCATTTTGCAGAATGACTGACATTACAACATTTAAATAGAGACAAGGTCAGCAAAATTGGAAAACCTTAAACTATGTATTAAATACACGCTCTATATATTCAAGTTTTAAACAAATGCTATAAAAAAAGGTATGTTGTATCTCCAACTATGGTTTTTGATGGAATGAGAATTTTAAGTCTGAATTTTAAAGAATTTTAAGTCTTAAGTCATTTAAGTCTGGGTGTCGCACATGATAATGTGAAGTACAGTTTTTTTTTCATGAGCTGGAAGTGGAAATGCACATATGCCAGTGACGGTCCAGTACTATTTTTCTTATTCAATTTTTCTGGCCACTGATCCCACACTTTCTCACATCCTCTCCACACACTAGGCCTATATATGACTCCTTCATACATCTATAGTCCCACTCTAGATCTCCCCATGCCCCTATTACGCTGGATTTCATGCTTTTTATAGAATCATCTGAATTTTGCCTTCTCACCATCCTGCCAAATCTGATGTAAAAGGTTCTGTCCAGAAACCTTAATTTTTTCAGTATATAGTCAATTTCAATTCAATTCAATTCAATTCAAAAGCTTTATTGTCTATCCCCACGGGGTAGAAAATTGTCTTTAGACAAAGGCTCAACAAACAGTAAAATACAAAAGACAACCACACAATTTAAGATACACCCCCCTCCCCTATTTCCTATTTAAAATATCAATGGCAGTTGGAATAAAAGTCTTCTTATACGTGGCCTTTTTCACCAAAGGTACTTTATATCGTCTACCAGACGGAAGTACATTAAATGAACTATGCAAGGGATGTGAAGAGTCTGTCACAATAGCAGAGGCTTTCCTTTCCACTGCCACAGTGTAAAGATCAGTCAGAGCTACTTGTTTCTCACCAATCATTTTAACAGCCATAATTTCAAAAGCAGACACCTAATACTTTTCTAAAATTGAAAGTAAATATCGGAAATTCTAAAATATTCTCAAGGATTAGGCAATACAATAGTTTTTGTCCTCATACAGTCTCTGTACAATTTACACAATCACTTGGTTCTGGATCGATTACAGACAAGCACCCCAAATTATTAGATGAAAATGGATATCAGAATGAAGACAATGATCAGTGCAGAGGAGAACACAAGATCTGAGAACCAACAATGACACAAACAAGAAGTGCAGACTCAAAGTCAGCTTTATTGTGCTCGTGCCATAGTTTATTCAGCAAGTCTCAGGTGTTGGCTAAAAACAACCAATAAAATAATAAGTCCATATAGAAAAGAAACGAGACTGCCAACTTCGCTGAAAGAGTTCATAGAGAGACAAACAATTGCATTCATATACCAAATGCAACCTTAGGAGCCCAACTAAAGCAAACACTGATCACCACAATGGTGATTTAAAATGAAACAAATATCACCATCTAAACAATGTAAATAAACATGAGTTTTAATTTAATGCATCCTGAGAGTGTTTATTTGGTCCAGAAACAGTATAAATGAGACCATAAATGATGTTGAAAACATGTCCACAATGGCCACATTTGAACTAGTTTTTGTTCGATGAACATCTATATCGGATGTGCAGAACACTTTAAAAAGGCGTCATAAAAACTTTCATTCTAGCGCAAGCGTACCGCACAAGCCCTCAAAAGTGAAGCCAAAACGTCTCGATCGCCCCCCTGTGGCCGGTCCTAGTATAGCTCATAACCCCCGCCTCCCCATGTTATTCAATGGGACGCGAGACCAACTAAACAATTAAATTACACTTCACATATCCTTTATCCAAACTTAGTTTGTCATTCACTGTAGTTTCTATCACGTTGATGTAATTTCAAGTGTTCGTTTTTAAAATAAGTTTGTGTTTAGTTAGTTATGTGATGATAAAACGGTGCTCTGACATCATGATTGACAGGTTCTCTGTGCGAGGTGGTCACTGAAGCACCAGCGGACTTTTTTCGTAATGTTGACTATGTGGCTAGTAGTTGTATTTACCTTATTTTAACGAGGTTCTGCAATCAGCAGACATCATTGGAGAAGAACGAAGCAGACAGAGGACACTTAATGAAAGTGCGGGGGGCGTGTGCTTGCGTTTGATTCAGCGAGGATGAGGGCGTGGCCTTGATTTCGCGGCTTTACTTCCTGCTCACGACTGCGCATGACTGGTCCCGAAACACGCAAGTGCGCAGACTCAGGTCCCAAGATGTCAGCGTCATATCGAGACACTGGCGGCTTCAGTTCTCTCTGATGGAAAAGAGTGAAGCGGCGTCGTCTATCTTTTTTTACAGTCTATTGGCGCTTTTCCACTGCATAGTACGGTACGGTTCGGCTCAGTACGCTTCGACTCGGCGCGGAACAGTTCGGCTCGCTTTGCGTTTCCACTGCAGTAGTACCCCTTCAAAGTGTGTGGGACTGATCGTTATTTGCGCGCGCCTCTACTGCCATGACATCATCTTAAAAGCGCCACATTTTCAAACCCACAACACAGGAACAATGGAGACTATCGAGGGGATGGTGTTCCTGATTCTCGGTATGTGGTTGTTTTTAACTGCTAGACGGAAAAATGTGTTTAAAATGAGGCTGATGGCAGCAAAACAAAATACTGCTAAAAAAGTGTCTCGTGTCGCAAATCCAATGACGATGGTAGTGACGATTCTGTCTGACCAATCAGTGATCTGCAGTGTTTCACGTCACATTTTAGTACCGGTACGGTACCCTTGGAACCTCAACAGACCAGGTCCCATTTAAAGCGACCTGAAGCGAAACGTACTGTACCGTACCATGCAGTGGAAAAGCGCCATATGTTCCAGCCCCTCAGCGGACGTCTTTTCAACGTCCGACTTTTGTGACAAATACGTTGAAAAGACGTGTTTTGGACATCATTTTGCTTAGTGGGTTTGGAACACACCAGGCCGACGGTCGGCCAGTCTTTGTGCGTCAACCGACTAAGTTTCCGACAGTGTGTTTCGCAATGTTGGCTGAAATAGATCCGCGTTGGCTTTGTTTCGGCCGATTCCGCCGGTGAAAGAGGGAACTCTGATTGCCTGTTCAGCTTAGCGAGAGTCAAGGCACGAGAAAAATAGCACAAGGAAGAGGAGGAGTAGGGCAAGAAAGAGGAAGAAGAGGAGGAGGAAGAGAACGAGGGCAAGGAAGAGGAACAAGATGAGGAGGAGGGCAAGGAGGAGGAGGAGAAGGGCAAGGAAGAGGAGGGCAAGAAAGAGGAAGAGGAGGAGAAGGGCAAGAAAGAGGAAGGAGGAGAAGAACAAGGGCAAGGAAGAGAAGGAGGAGAAGGAGGGCAAGGAAGAGGAGGAGGAGGAGGAGGAGAGGGAGGAGAAGGAGGGCAAGGAAGAGGAGGAGAAGGAGGCCAAAGAAAGAGGAGGAAGGAGGAGAAGGAGGGCAAGGAAGGAGGAGGAGGAGGAGGGAAAGGAAAGAGGAGGAGGGCAAGGAAGAGGAGGAGGAAGAGAGGAGGAGGAGGAGAGCAAGGAAGAGGAACAAGAAGAGGAGGAGGAGGAGGGCAAGGAAGAGGAAGAGGAGGAGGGCAAGAAAGAGGAAGGAGGGAGAAGAGAAGACAAGGGCAAGGAAGAGGAGAAGGAGGAGGAGAAGGAGGGCAAGGAAGAGGAGGAGGAGGAGGAGAGAAGGAGGGCAAGGAAGAGGAGGAGAAGGAGGCAAGGAAGAGAGGAGGAGAAGGAGGGCAAGGAAGAGGGAGGAGGAAGGGAAGGAAGAGGAGGAGGGCAAGGAAGAGGAGGAGGAAGAGGAGGAGGAGAGCAAGGAAAGAGAACAAGAAGAGGAGGAGGAAGGAGGGCAAGGAAGAGGAGGAGGAGGAGGAGGAGGGAAGAAAGAGGAGAGGAGGAGGGCAAGAAAGAGGAGGAGGAAGGGGAGGAGGAGGAGGAGGAGGGCAAGGAAGAGGAACAAGAGGAGGAGAAGGAGGCCAAGGAAGAGGAGGAAGAGGAGGACAAGAAGAGGAAGAGGAGGGCAAGAAAGAGGAGGAGGAAGAGGAGGAGGAGAAGGAGGGCAAGGAAGAGGAACAAGAGGAGGAGGAGGAGGGCAAGGAAGAGGAGGAGGAGAAGAAGGAGGGCAAGGAAGAGGAACAAGAGGAGGAGGAGGGCAAGGAAGAGGAGGAGGAGGGCAAGAAAGAGGAAGGAGGGCAAGGAAGAGGAAGGAGGGCAAGAAAGAGGAGGAGAAGGAGAAGAAGGAAGAGTAACAAGAGAAGGAGGCGGATGAGGAGGGCAAGAAAGATGAGGAGGAAGAGGAGGAGGTGGAGAAGGAGGGGGGCAAGGGACAATATTGCTTGTGATGTGGACGAAGTGCTCTGGCCTGACCCAGGCCAAAGACAAGAAGCACATTGATCACATGTTTACTCCTTTCATTTGTGTCCCTTTGAGTATCGTATACTGTAGTGCACTGCTGTCGACTGTACAATGAAAAAATATGAAATTTGATCTCAGATCTCAGTTTTTTTCTGAAATTTCTCCCTCGGCCATCTCTACATATTCTAGTCTTTCTTCAAATCTCCCTCTTTCTCACTCTCCGTCTCGTCCCCCATCATGAATGGACACGCCCTCTACAGCTGATTGGCCACGAGTGTGTTGAGCTGCTCCATCCGATCCACTTTCCACAGCTTTCCTGTTTCTCACTGTATCTCTCTGTTGCCTTGTTGCAGAGTGAGTATAACGAAGATGCGCTTTTAGACTCGTGTTCCACTTAAATCTCTTCTCACACAGATGACACGCGTACGACATCTCTTCAGTGTGATTTCTCATGTGACTATTAAGTCCTTGTTTAAAGGTGAAACTCTTGCCACACTGAGAGCAGGAGAAAGGCTTTTTTCCAGTATGAAGTCTCATGTGAGTTTTACAGCTTTCGCTACTTGTGAAAGTGTTTCCACACTGAGAACAGGAGAAAGGCTTTATTGACATGTGAGTTATCAAATGAACATTAAGGTGGTTTTTATATTTAAAACTCTTTCCACACTGAGAGCAGGTGAAGGGCTTTAATCCAGTGTGAATTATCATGTGATTCTTGAGGTTTTCTTTACGTGTGAAAGTGTTTCCACACTGAGAACAGGAGAAAGGCTTCATTCCAGTATGAACTTTCATGTGAGTATTCAGGTTTCCTTTACGTGCAAAAGTTCTCTCACACTGAGGGCAAGCGAACGGCTTTTCTTCAGTGTGAATAGCAAAATGATCCTCAAGGTGTGATTTCTTTGTAAAACTCCTTTCACACACACAGCAGGTGAAACGCTTTATTCGAGTATGAATTAACATGTGAGCCTTCAGGCTTGATTTACGTGTGAAAGTGTTTCCACACTGAGAGCAGACGAAAAGCCGTTTGACATCTGTGATTTGAATGCTGCTTTTTTCAGTTTTGAAGCAACTCAATGGTTTCTCTCCAGCGATGACATCATGAGCTTTCTGATGATGTTTCTCCTCCATTTCATTCAGATCTTGTATTTCCTCTTTCACTTTTATCAGGCCTAAAATGAAAATTATGAAAATCAATTTGGTCAAATGGAAAATAAAATAATTTTTGATAATGTAGGGCCTACTAAAAACTCCCCAAAAACTGTGTATTCTGTTGAATGTGATTATATTACACGGAACGTAAAAAATAGAGACACCAGCCACCATAGTCACATGTTTGCCGGGAGCCAGAGCGCCTGACATCAAAGCAAATTTAAAAGTACTGGCTAATGCTAATCGTAAATTCTCTAAGATTATTATTAACGTCGGCACTAATGATGTTCGAACATTAAAGGGGAAATGAAGCGGTGAATCAAGTTTACATGATTTACAAGATGGATTTCCAATGTAATCAACAATTATATAAGAAACATTACAAATTTAAACATTTAGAAGAAAAAAAGAAAAAAAAATTGTATCTTTCGCCGCCAGGGCGCCGCCATTGTGCAGGTGACGTCACGGGGTTGGTTGGCTCAAGTTTAACAGGCTCTGGGCATTGAAAATCGCGACATCAAACTGTGTTTACACCAGTGTTTTGACCGCGAACGACTAATGTTAGGTACAGTTATTAGACAAAAAGACGACGTCTAATGTTATATGTTAACAAACTGCACATAGAAATATTGTTCGCGATGTCTGCCGTCATATTCCCGTCTCGTCAACATCATGTAACGTTAAGTTACGTTGCTATGTAGAACAGCCGGTGGTGGTTTGGGGCGAAGAGCGGGTTTGCAACGCTAACTTACCAGGTGTCCGTGTGGCTGTTGTCCTGCGATGCCCTCCGTGTCAGAGTCCATCTGTTGTCAAGAGGTTGATCTTGAACATGTGTTGCGTGGTCAATTCTGCATCACCGGCGCGCACGTTTACCATGCTGTGCCGGGAGTTAGACGTGTGGAAGTGGCGATGCTTTCCCTGAAGGATGTCAGAGCGGAGACACTGTTTCCTAGAATATGTAGGCTATAGCTAACGTTACTAGCACTACCAGTGCGGAAATATGGACGTTTCATTTCCCCTTTAACAAATAACGTTACATGCTAACTTACATGTTGTTAATGAGACGGGAATATCTGACGGCAGACATCGCGAACAATGTTTCTATGTGCAGTTTGTTAACATATAACATTAGACGTCGTCTTTTTGTCTAATGACTGTACCTAACATTAGTCGTTCGCGGTAAAAACACTGGTATAAACACAGTTTGATGTCACGATTTTCAATGCCCAGAACCTGTTAAACTTGAGCCAACCAACCCCGTGACGTCACCTGCACAATGGCGGCGCCCTGGCGGCGAAACATACAACGTTTTTCTTTTTTTCTTCTAAATGTTTACATTTGTAATGTTTCTTATATAATTGTTGATTATATTGGAAATCAATCTTGTAAATCATGTAAACTTGATTCACTGCTTCATTTCCCCTTTAAAGAGGTGTGTGAACATGCAAGTATGATGTCAAGCACTTTAATTTGCTCTGGCCGCCTTCCTGTTCGCAGGAGTGATGAGATAGTTAGTAGACTGTCCTCACTTACTGTAATGGCTGGCATCATAAGCGTGTGCAATAGCATTTTTGGGGCATTATAGGTGTGTGCAACAGCACTTTAGGGCATCATAAACATGTGCAAAAGCATTTTGGGGCATGTGCAGAAGCATTGTAGGGTGTGCAACTGCATATTGAGGCATCATAGCCGTGTGAAGCAGCATTTTAGGGCATCATGAGCGTGTGCAACAGCATTTTTGGGGCATTATAAGCATGTGCAACAGCATTTTTTGGGGCATCATATGTGTGTGCAACAGCATTTTAGGGTGTGCAACAGCATTTTAGGGTGTGCAACAGCATTTTTGGGGCATCATATTCATAAGCTTGTGCAACAGCATTTTAGGGTGTACAACAGCATTTTGGGGCATCATAAGCATGTGCAACAGCATTTTTGGGGCATCATATGTGTGTGCAACAGCATTTTAGGGCATCATGAGCGTGTGCAATAGCATTTTTGGGGCATTATAAGCATGTGCAACAGCATTTTAGGGTGTGCAACAGCATTTTGGGGCATCATAAGCATGTGCAACAGCATTTTTGGAGCATTATAAGCATGTGCAACAGCATTTTTGGGTGTGCAACAGCATTTTGGGGCATCATAGGCGTGTGAAGCAGCAATTTAGGGCATCATAAGCATGTGCAACAGCATTTTTGGGGCATCATATGTGTGTGCAACAGCATTTTAGGGCATCATAAGCGTGTGCAATAGCATTTTTGGGGCATTATAGGCATGTGCAACAGCATTTTAGGGTGTGCAACAGCATTTTTTGGGGCATCATATGTGTGTAACAGCAATTTAGGGCATCATAAGCGTGTGCAATAGCATTTTTGGGGCATTATAAGCATGTGCAACAGCATTTTGGGGTGTGCAACAGCATTTTAGGGTGTGCAACAGCATTTTAGTGTGTACAACTGCATATTGAGGCATCATAGTGTGTGAAGCAGCAATTTAGGGCATCATAAGCATGTGCAACAGCATTTTTGGGGCATCATATGTGTGTGCAACAGCATTTTAGGGCATCATAAGCGTGTGCAATAGCATTTTGGGGCATTATAGGGATGTGCAACAGCATTTTAGGGTGTGCAACAGCATTTTTGGGGGCATCATATGTGTGCAACAGCAATTTAGGGCATCATAAGCGTGTGCAATAGCATTTTTGGGGCATTATAAGCATGTGCAACAGCATTTTGGGGTGTGCAACAGCATTTTAGGGTGTGCAACAGCATTTTAGTGTGTACAACTGCATATTGAGGCATCATAGTGTGTGAAGCAGCAATTTAGGGCATCATAAGCATGTGCAACAGCATTTTTGGGGCATCATATGTGTGTGCAACAGCATTTTAGGGCATCATAAGCGTGTGCAATAGCATTTTTGGGGCATTATAGGGATGTGCAACAGCATTTTAGGGTGTGCAACAGCATTTTTGGGGGCATCATATGTGTGCAACAGCAATTTAGGGCATCATAAGCGTGTGCAATAGCATTTTTGGGGCATTATAAGCATGTGCAACAGCATTTTGGGGTGTGCAACAGCATTTTAGGGTGTGCAACAGCATTTTAGTGTGTACAACTGCATATTGAGGCATCATAGTGTGTGAAGCAGCAATTTAGGGCATCATAAGCATGTGCAACAGCATTTTTGGGGCATCATATGTGTGTGCAACAGCATTTTAGGGCATCATAAGCGTGTGCAATAGCATTTTTGGGGCATTATAGGCATGTGCAACAGCATTTTAGGGTGTGCAACAGCATATTGAGGCATCATAGTGTGTGAAGCAGCAATTTAGGGCATCATAAGCATGTGCAACAGCATTTTTGGGGCATCATATGTGTGTGCAACAGCATTTTAGGGCATCATAAGCGTGTGCAATAGCATTTTTGGGGCATTATAGGGATGTGCAACAGCATTTTAGGGTGTGCAACAGCATTTTAGGGTGTGCAACAGCATTTTAGTGTGTACAACTGCATATTGAGGCATCATAGTGTGTGAAGCAGCAATTTAGGGCATCATAAGCATGTGCAACAGCATTTTTGGGGCATCATATGTGTGTGCAACAGCATTTTAGGGCATCATAAGCGTGTGCAATAGCATTTTTGGGGCATTATAGGCATGTGCAACAGCATTTTAGGGCATCATAAGCGTGTGCAATAGCATTTTTGGGGCATTATAGGCATGTGCAACAGCATTTTAGGGTGTGCAACAGCATTTTAGGGCATCATAAGCGTGTGCAATAGCATTTTTTGGGGCATTATAAGCATGTGCAACAGCATTTTAGGGTGTGCAACAGCATTTTGGGGTGTGCAACAGCATTTTGGGGCATCATAAGCATGTGCAACAGCATTTTAGGGTGTGCAACAGCATTTTAGGGTGTGCAACAGCATTTTGGGGTGTGCAACAGCATTTTGGGGCATCATAAGCATGTGCAACAGCATTTTAGGGTGTGCAACAGCATTTTGGGGTGTGCAACAGCATTTTAGGGTGTGCAACAGCATTTTGGGGTGTGCAACAGCATTTTGGGGCATCATAAGCATGTGCAACAGCATTTTAGGGTGTGCAACAGCTTTTTGGGGTGTGCAACAGCATTTTGGGGTGTGCAACAGCATTTTGGGGCATCATAAGCATGTGCAACAGCATTTCGGGGCATCATGAGCATGTGCAACAGCATTTTAGGGTGTGCAACAGCATTTTAGGGTGTGCAACAGCATTTTGGGGTGTGCAACAGCATTTTAGGGTGTGCAACAGCATTTTGGGGCATCATAAGCATGTGCAACAGCATTTTAGGGTGTGCAACAGCATTTTAGGGTGTACAACAGCATTTTGGGGTGTGCAACAGCATTTTAGGGTGTGCAACAGCATTTTGGGGTGTGCAACAGCATTTTAGGGGGTGCAACAGCATTTTGGGGTGTGCAACAGCATTTTGGGGCATCATAAGCATGTGCAACAGCATTTTAGGGTGTGCAACAGCATTTTGGGGTGTGCAACAGCATTTTAGGGTGTGCAACAGCATTTTGGGGTGTGCAACAGCATTTTGGGGCATCATAAGCATGTGCAACAGCATTTTAGGGTGTGCAACAGCATTTTGGGGTTTGCAACAGCATTTTAGGGTGTGCAACAGCATTTTGGGGTGTGCAACAGCCAGGGGCGTCGCAACCGTGGGGGATGTGGGTGTTTTAACACCCACACTTTTCTCGGTGAGAGTGTTCAACACCCGCACTTTTTCTGCCGTTTTTCCGCAGTTTTACACAAACGCCTTCCTACAGTCGCTCCTCCGTTTCTTTGGCGCTCAGTGTGTGTGTGTGTGTGTGTGTACGCTCGCTGCGGCTGTCTCCTCTCAAACATGACACCGGCTTTGAGTGTGTCCGGCTGATGATTGGCTGTTCTGCCTTAAGTCCCGCCTCTCTTGATGTGTTGGATGTATCGGTCAGCTCGTGCTGAGGAGGCGGGAACTTATGGTTGTTTATGTTTACATCTCCCTTT